TTGGAGTTTCCAAATGCATTAGCTAGTTCCCCAATAATAGTGAGTGAGTTGGGGTTAACGCCGCTTTTAACAGTATTCCAGTTATATCGCGGCGTGTCAGCTTAATGTGGGAGGAAAGCCCGAAGTGATGCAGGTCTCAGATGTTTACCAGTTCGGTGAAACCCACGAGCACGGGTATGGTGCTGACAAACATAGACACATAATCGGGGCAAACCGGGATTTCATAGGTTTCTGGCGTGCTCAAGGGACGCAACTCTGCACAGCGAATCGCGGCGCCTTAGACAACTGGGCCACCCGTGCCCCCTCCCCAATAGTAAGTATTGAATTGATCGTGAGGAGGTTAGAGCACATGTCTGGAAGCCTTTTCCTGGAATGATTGTGGGTAGTTACTTTGTTTGTTGTTTAATGCCTCACTCAGCAATATTCCTGCTATATGATGGCGGTCTGTAAATAATCAAGTCTAGACCAGACAATCCAGTGATTGACATCATGAACATCGATACAAGCAATTGGGATGCGATGACATGCAAGCCTGACCACCCGATCCCGTTAGTCGTCCCTCACGACAAGCATACCATTGCTGCTGACATATTGCATATGTGTTTGGCTATGTTGTTGGCTTTTTGTTTTGGACCCATAGTTTTGTCTATATTAGGTATTTAGCTATTATGTTTTATGCCTTTGATGTCTTTTAGTTTTTGCCACATAGCCTAAGTGGTTTGTTTTGGTTTGATTTTGGAAGTGAATTTAGTTTCTTTTTTAGATTTTTTGTTTTGTTTTTGATAAGCCTTGCCTGGGGGAGTGAGGATGTATCCCTTTTGGCATAGAGCTGGAATATTGCTGAGTGCGTTAAACAACAAACGACCAACAAAACAAAGCTATGCCAGTTTTAGCGAAGACAGAACAAAGTTGACAAAAGACTACACGAGGGGCACCTGTCGCCATCTTGTTTTCCGGGAAAAACAGGAGTGGTCACGTATGTAAATTCATCAGACTTTCGGGTCCACTCGGCTTATTTCGTTACTCACGTGACACATCGGGTAGCAATGGAGTAGTGAGTTTGCATAATTTCAATGTAAACAGCACCCTGATTGGTCAAATGGCAGCCGATTTTCGGGAAAATGTTTTTGTGATTAACGGAAAATAGGTATTCAATGAATGAGTGAGTGAGTTAAATTATAAGTCACATCTGCAATATTTCAGCCATATCGTGACTATCAAGGGTTAAACATCATAAATACTTTTATACTTATATAAAAACCTGCCAACGAAGACAGTAAAATAACTAGACTTATCACAGAAAATTATTTAAAGCTAGTATAGAATCATAAAATGGACAGCACTATACATAACAATACATTATAAAACAGGCTATTGATCTCCAACAAGGTAGATCACCATGCTAGGGACCATGGGGACTTACTGTACTTTTGCTACCTGCATGGACCCCAGCAGAATTTACACCATCCCTTCAGGTTTTGGCGATTACTAACACATTTAGCCTTATTAAAGCAACACATATTCTACGATTAAAGGATGTGGTAAGAATAAATCTACTGAATGACGAGGTCTTACATACGCTATGATATAGAACAACATTTACAAACGCTCACTTCTGCCGTCATACTGATGTGTATAATGTAATAGTCACGCGAACATTTAAACTAGTTATTCCAAAATGAATTCCCCAAAAGCTTGCCAGGACGACTGTGGAAATGAGGTGAGCCGAGAGACGCCCTTATGTAAAAAGTAGCTCACATCCAACTGGTTTACAAACAAAACATTTTCTTTCAACGTCAACTGTGATTCGAATTTTCAAACCTCCTTCATTTTTGCACTTCAGTATAATAATTTGTTGAAAGAAAATTCAATTTATTTAACATGATTGAATTTTCTACATGAGAGTCTTTGTTAGGTCGATCGCCTCCGTGGTGTAGTGGATGGGGTGTCTTCCCATGTAGAAGGTAGCTGGGTCGATCCCCGACTGCGTCATAAAAGACATTGAAAGGTTATGCATGTTGTTGCCATGCCTAGCGCTCGGCATTAAGGGGCCAATGTCTGCAATGACCGTGAAGGTGACGTATAACCCGATGTCACTATCTCACCTTTATTAGGTCAATTAAGAATAGGTCCCGTGAAGATTCCGTGATAGAATAGGTCTTCAGCAACCCATGCTTGCCGTAAAAGGCGACTGAGCTTGCCGTAAGAGGCGACTAACGGGATCGGGTGGTCAGGCTCGCTGACTTGGTTTAAGCATGTCATCGATCCCAATTGCGTGGATCGATGCTCATGATATTAATCACTGGATTAATCCAGACTCGATTATTTACAGACCGCCGTCATATAGCTGGAATATTGCTGAGTGCTGCGTTAAACAACAAACCAACCAACCAACCAATTAAGAATGGGTTGTTTCTCATGACCTCGTCCAAAACTGACCTAGGAGGAAGAGAGTGTTTTATTTTATTTTTTACTTTTGTCTGTTACAAATCTATGAGAGTAATCGTGATTCTAAGGTAGCAAGCTTGTTTGGCTTTCAAATCACAATTCTACCTTGAATTTCAGTGTGAATATTTGTTGAAATAAATCACATTTCCTTTTACCTTGACAAAATTCCTAGACATGGTACTGGCATTCGAGACAAGTGCAGCTGGCTCGTTTGAACCTTGTGGTATTGTTCTAGGGACTGTCGATAGCTTACAGCACGCCAAGCTTTCGTATGTTAAGTATGCATTTGATATAATGATATTGTTTCTTCAGTTCAATTTTTCTAAGATATATTTAGACCTTACAGTTGTCAAGTGGCAATAGTTCCAAACATTTGAAAATATATGAACCCGAAACTTACGTATTGTCGAGCAAATTTCACACGGATTCTGTACTCTCAGATATATTAGTATTTTCTTTACCGTTTGTCAAATTCAGTATTTTTTTCACAGGTAGTCAAATTCAGTCTTTTCTTTACAGCTAGTCAAATTCATTTTTTGTTGTTACAGATAACTTCATTCAGTATTTTCCTTTCATAGATAGTCAAATTCAATGTATTCTATACCGGTGTTCAAATTCAGTATTTTCTTCACAGGTTGTCAAATTCAGTATTTTCTTTGCTAATTGCTAAATTAAGCATTTTCTTTACTGTTTGTCAAATTCAGTATTTTTTTATACAAATTGATAAATTCAGTATTTATGCATAATATACACATATATAATTATGAGTTTGTGACATGCTAGACATTCAATGTCTAACGGGAGGTAGTGGGGTAGCCTAGTGGTCAAAGCGTTCCCTCGTAACGTCGAAGACCCGGGTTCGATTACCCATTGGGGCACAATGTGTGAAGCCCATTTCTGGTGCCCCCCTCCGTCATGTTGCTGGAATATTGCTAAAAATGGCGTAAAACCATACTCACTCACTCACTCTAACGAGTGGTCCCTTTTCGTTCGTTATAACCGTAGTTGGGTTTGTTTCTCTCCCCCCCCCCCCCCCTCTCTCTCTCTCTCTCTCTCTCTCTCTCTCTCTCTCTCTCTCTCTCTCTATCTCTCTCTCCCTCTCTCTCTCTCATATTTTCATATCGACTTTATTAGGTACAATAAATTCACTAAAAAACTGTGCGTATATATATGAGTAAATGTCGTTTTACGCCGCTTTTACCAACATTCCAGCAATATGCATATGGCGGCGGGGGACAACAGATATGGTCTTCGGCATGACGAGCTAACACATTAACCACTGTCCCACCCCGTGTAAACATGGAATGTGTATTGTGACTATAATTTCTGTGAAAGAACCACCCATTGCATGTCTCTGATATATTATACGACACCCGTCAGTCTATTAGAATTATAATTTCGACACGGATATCAGATCCTCTTTAATTCAAATCAGTTTAAAATGTTTCATTCACTCTTTTATTTGTTTGAGCAAAATCAGGATTTACGAAAAAAGGACAAACCCTTAACTGAACTGTTACCAATATATACATATATGTGACTGTTTGATTTAAACTCTACAGTGAACACTTTTGTATTAGTCAAAGGGAGATAATTTAACATTCTGGTTTCTCTGTTTCAAATTCAATTTATCAATGACAAATCTAAATATAACATCAGGTGAGGTGAAATGGGGTTTAACGTCGCGTCCAAGATTATTGCACTTATATAGCGATGTGCATGCACGTGTGTGTGTGTGGCTGCTTGTACTAGTCCGGACTGATGCCGATTGTATAGTGCCAGCCAGCCAGCCAGCCAGCCAGCCAGCCATCTCTCTATCTGCACACTTCTTGAGGCGAGGTGAAATGGAGGTTTAACGTCGCGTCCAAGATTGTGTCTGTGTGTCTGTGTGTGTCTGTGTGTCTGCTTGTACTAGTCCAGACTGATGTCAATTGATAGTGCTAACTCACTGAGATACCATGCCGCAGTTTAACATGAATACCCCACTCAGACACAATATACTGACCCCGAGCCGACCAGTCCTTGTTTTAGCCCCTTAATGCCGAGCGCGAGACAGGGTAACAACAAGTACCACCTTTTAACGTCTTTTGGTATGACGCGGCCGGGGATCTAAGACCTTCCGCTCTCCGGGCGGACGCTCTACCACTAGACCACGGAGGCGCCTAAAGTTAACATAAACCCTACATTAAAAACAATGTGTGTTATCACCATTCTACCACGGCAAACGTAAACGCGGAATCTTTGGTATTAGGGAAGAAAATGAGTGATATGGCGCTAATTTAAAATTTAATACCATTATTGCGTTCGGTTCCAAATTGAACAACGCGCTGTCAGCTCTATTTATGTATCATCTGGTAAATTTGACATGTTAAAATTAATCAAATACCTGAGTTCTATACACAGCAGATTGTTTTTGGAGATAATGTATTATGTAACCTGCAGTAAAATTCAATACAAATGATGCAACGATCTGCCAGTGGTTGACATATCCCATTAAGTACCTCGGTGGTATATATAATAATCGAGTCCAGCTATGTTCAGAGAAGCCTCGTGTATTTGAATTTAAATATAGGTTTCTCTATTATCTACGTTTCTCAAAATGAGACACCTTTTCGTCCTCGCCACACTGGCCATTGTCAACGTTATGGCAGCTGGTGATCGTGACAGCTTCGACGAAAACGTCGAAATGTTGGGTGACGGAAATCTGGATGCTGAATTCGACGCTTGGATAACGTCGGAGGAAAAGCAAGCGAAGAGTGGAGAGGCAAGTGTGGAATACAAGGAGGGTCAGAATAACCATGGTAAAGACAGCGGAGACGATGTCAGAGATGACGAGGAAGAAGATAACTGGAAGGCTAGGGGTGCTACGAGAGGCAATGTCAGAGATGACAGGGAGGATCGCCGATTGGACATAGGAAAGAGGAGAGGCAATGGAAGAGGAAGATGGCCTTCCAAAGAGGTTACAATGGTCAAGAAGCACTCATACCAAGGTTAATATGATTTTTATCTTCTTTCTTTCGGGATAGGTAATCAGTACTAATTCTTGTTCACGAGGAATTAGCACTGATTTTATTGCGACGAAGAATACAAAGGCAGCTTGTGTCGACTCTCACAGGGGGCACGGGTGGCCCAGTCGTCTAAGGCGCCGCGATTCGCTGTGCAGAGTTGCGTCCCTTGGGCACGCCAGAAACCTATGATTGTGGGTTGGAATCCCGGTTCGCCCCGATTATGTTTATAGGTTTATTAGCTACATACTCGTGCTCGTGGGTTTCACCGAAGTGGTAAACGTCTGAGACCTGCATCACTTCGGGCTTTCCTCCCACATTAAGCTGACACGCCGCGATATAACTGGAATACTATTAAAAGCGGCGTTAAACCCAACTCACTCACACTCACTCACTTTCTTTCGGGATGGGTAATCAGTACTAATTCTTGTTCACGAGGAATTAGCACTGATTTTATTGCGACGAAGCATACAAAGGCTGCTTGTGTCGACTCTCACAACGATTGGTATCAATTTGGATTATACATCCGATGCCAGATATCCGTCTGCAGGTGATAGGACATATGATAGTGCTCCAGTTTGGTTGAGTCGTCTAAGGCGTCGGTTCGACTCCCAGTTTTGATCGGATTGTACGTAACGGTTTGTCAGGACCATTCCCGCCCTCGTGGAGGGACATTTGTCACTAAACGGTGACCATAAATATACTTCTATCTCTATCTTCAGGTTACATTGTCAAAGAGGAAAGCAACTGTCATCTCCTGTTTACTGAGAAAATGTTTTATTTCCTCATAGATAACATTCATGTGAGTGTTTAGATGAATGTAGGCAAGAAGTAGGCATCTACATGGGTAACCAGTTATGCTCTTCTTGCTAATCTGTTTCTTGATGAATTTGAATTTATATTTCTGCTGGATTGGCAAACTCAGAACTCGAGAATATAAGTTTCATTTATCATTAACTAAAGCATTTATCCATGACATAAGCTTAAGACATAAAAACATGTATGTCATACCCCAATGACGTAAGTATGCAACTTAGATATGCATATTAGATAACCGGAAGTGGGACTTTTTTCGCCAGTGCACGTGTGTAGGTGTTTACAAACAACATGGATACCTTTGATGTTGGAGACAATGTTTTAATAGATGAAAGGGGAAGTGCTACAGTGATATCCGTGTTGACAAATGGATATTACTGGTTACAGGTTGATGGTACTTTTTTTCTCAGCGAAGGAATATGCCATAAAGGAGTTAAGAGGTTGTTTATTTTGGTTTACACGGCTATGGAAAACATGTATCACTACGCACGATCTATACGTAAGATTTCGACAAGTTGCTGATGTTATTGTTAATGCAATTATTCCTTAATAGGGAAGCAAACATGATAAATAGAACTCATCACTCGTGTTTTTAATATGGGAAATATCAACCTCGTCCCGGTAATCGGTATTTGCCGAGCCTTTGGCGATTAACGGGACGAGGTTGATATTTCCCATATTAAAAAAACACGAGTGATGAATCCTCTATGTATATACTTGATCTGATTTCGTTCAATAGTGAACAATTAATCTATTTCCACTGATTTACCCAAATGAACAAGAAACAAAAGAGACCTGTGAAACAGCCTCATCTATTTCATAATTAGAATTGACAAAAGATTCAGAGTGACAAAAAAACTCTCCACAAGATTCTACCATGACATTGATGAATGCTTGATTCTGATTGGTTAAAAAGATGTTTCCTTTTTGCTACGGAAACCCTTTTCAAAAAGATTAAGCCTTTAAAAAAGACGTGCGTATGAATACATAGATAGCCTACATATAAACTGGGCGGCAAAAGAAAGTATAGGTCGAGTTCCATGATCGATAAAAAAATAACAAGAAGAGGTTTTGTTGAAAATTATAATCTAATCTAGGGAGGGGTAACAAATGATTGATCAACCACAGTTTGAATGAAATTGTGCAATCGCAGGTAATGTAAGCTCAAGGTAAACAATGGTGGGGTAAGAAATTTCATTTTCAAAAGTTGTCTGAAAAGTCACCAAAAAATTGTGCTTCGTGCTTTCCTCCCCCATTAAGCTGACACGCCGTGATATGACTGGAATACTGTTAAAAGCAGCGTTAAACCAAACTCACTCACTCACACTCACTCTTTGATACAACAATATCTGGTATGCCTGCAGCTGTTCAACATTTGTTTATTTGCTTCCTTTTGAATTTCAGAATCAAACTGTCCAAGGGATTTTGTGTATATCGCCAAGCTGAAGTTCTGCTTCAAAGCGATTCACGAGAAAGGCTGTATGTACACCGCCAAGAGAAGATGTCGGGGCATGGTCCAGGGAGGTCGCCTTGTACAACCGGACACAAGCGACAAACTGAAAGAACTAACTAAATACACCAACAGCCTTAAACACAGTAAGATATTATGATTTGTCTCCAATAAAGTTTTAATTTCTCGTATTATGATACCATCAATCTGCAATGTTACGTTAACGACTACTCCAAATTAAAATGTGTTTACAAAATAAATGTTTTTTAATTCCTTGAAGGTGAAGTGAAATTGGGTTTAACGTCGCGTTCAAGATTATTGCACTTGAATAGCGACATGGATGTGATTGTGTATATGACTGCTTGTACCAATCCAGATTAATGCCGGTTTATATTGCTAGCCCACTGAGTTACCATACATTATACTGACTCCGATCCGACCAGCCCTTGTTTTATCCCCATAATGCCGAGCGTCAGGCAAGGTAACAACAAGTACCATATTTTAGCAGACGGGGATCGAACCACCCCTCAATCGAAAAGATCAGGGAAGCACTCGAAGACCATGACGTCAAGAGTAACTTACATGCTAAAAGTGATTATTTGGACTTTAGGTGTGTTCATAACGTCATCTTACTGAGATATAGGCCTGGTTGTTTGCAGTATTAAGACGTTAATAACACTGTCAGCTTGCAGGATGTGTCCGTTAAGGCAATTACATCAACTCAACGTGAGGATTCTGGGTTAGAATTGTCCCAGCAACCTTTGTTGGTCGTAAGAGGCGATGTATTGTTAACTTTGTTTGCTGTTTAACGCCGCACTCAGCAATATTCCAGCTATATATGACGGCGGTCTGTAAATAATCGAGTCTGGTCCAGATAATCCAGTGATTGACATCATAAGCATAGATCCACGCAATTGGGATCGATGACATGCATCAACCAAGTCAGCGAGCCTGACCACCCGATCCCGTTAGTCGCCTTTTACGACAAGCATCGTCGACCTTTACGGCAAGCATGGGTTGCTGAAGACCTATTCTACCCCGGATCTTCACGGGTCCAGTGTCACGCGGACAGAATATCGGGTACCTATTTCCAAAATATCCATAACATGAACATTTGGTTCCAGTGACTCGAACTGGCTTCAACATTGGCGCCATGAAACTGTTCTCAGTCTACAAGTGGATGGACGGAAGCGAAATGAAGTATTCCAACTGGTGCCCTGGTTCCCCGGAAAGAGGTCACATGTGTGTCAAACTCATCTCGCAGCGAGAAGACGAGGGCACGTGCATGGATGACGACTGCTGCTTCCGCCCGGTATACTTCATCTGTGAAAAGCCTATCCTGTAATGATAGGGGTGGCCCAGTCTGAAGTCTGTTGAAAGAACCTTCCCGAGGCAAGCGAGATAACTGACTGTAAAAGTCCAGTTTCCACCCTTGTCGAACTAGGCTGGAATTATGGAGTTACATTTTGCCTGGACTAACGAGTCTATGCATAGTCCTATCAAAATCGCGCAACGAAATCGAAATCTGGTTATTAAACTGTCGTGCAGATTTAGGTCGATTACAGGATTTGCAAAGCATGTGCACCACTAACTCGTCAGCAGATATTTTCCAAGACTTTGCATGTTTATGATCAAGTTGCTCACGTGATTTGATGCACTTCGCGATGTAAGACCCTTTTTATCACAATATAGATCTTGACTATCGATCAGATCGTCTTGACTGGGCGCCGCCATTTGGTTTGAAACAAATGCAAGTGATAAGAGAGGTAGAATCTGATTGGTCCATAAGAGAGGCTTATAAAGAACATAACTCGTAATAACCGCTGGTGGCGCTACGATTGAGCCTAGGAATTCCCGCCTTGTTCGGCATGGGTGGAAACTTGGCTTTTCAAGTCAGTTAACGCCATTGCCTCGGGAACATGGTTGAAAGCGGCATTAAACCTAACTACTATCCTTTAATATGGTTTGTATTATGTGTGTATCCACAACCTTTTTATATCTATCGATCCATCCATCAATCCACCCATCCATCCATCCATCTCTCTATCTGCACACTTCTTGAGGCGAGGTGAAATGAGGTTTAACGTCGCGTCCAAGAGTATTGCACTTATATAGCGACGTGTGTGTGTGTGTGTGTGTGTGTGTGCGCGCGCGCGTGTGCGTGTGCGTGTGTGTGTGTCTGATTGTACTAGTCCGGACAGATGCCGATTTTATAGTGCTAGCCACTGAGATACCATGCCGCAGTCTAACATGAATACCCAACTCCGACACAGTGTACTGACTCCGAGCCAACCAGTCCTTGTTAAGCCCCTAAATGCCGAGCGCCAGACTGGGTAACAACAAGTACCATCTTTTAACGTCTTTTGGTATGAGGCGGCCGGGGATAGTACCCCGGACCTCCCGCTGTCGCATACTGTTTGAGCATTTTATGAGCTTTGAATGGAACTTGTATTATATAAACGGAAGTGAGTGAGTGAGTGAGTGAGTATGGTTTTACGCCGCTTTTAGCAATATTCCAGCAATATCACGGCGGTGGACACCATAAACGGAAGTACAAAGGCAACTTGACACCTATTTTGACTCCGTTATTAACCATTCAAGGAAATTTGTCCCGGTGTTGCAATAATAAACACCAGGTACACTTTTCCAGCAAGATAACGCTAGACCTCATACAACCAGACTACCATGAACTTCTTCACGTCAACGTTTCGCCATGGCCAGACTCAATTATTTAGAGACCGCCGTTATATAACGGGAATGCTGAGTGCCGCGTTAAATAACAAACAAACAAGTTGCTAATCACGAGACACAAGACACGCTATTCTAGTGAGTGAGTGAGTTGGGTTTAACGCCGCTATAGGACTGGTGCCCCTGTCAGAAAGATGTCTACAATAATCATTTTATTAAAATGGAGTGACTCCCTTCAATATGGGGTTAAACGGGTCGTGACATTATAGTATCGACCAACAATGATAACGTAATAAAATCAGTCACATCACAATGTATAAGTGAGTATGATGTCATCTCGTTCTGAAAACAAAATGCTTGTAAAGTGAGTGAGTGAGTGAGTGAGTGTGGTTTTACGCCGCTTATAGCAATATTCGAACCCAGGTCTTCGCCGTGACGAGCGAACGCTTTAACCACTAGGCTACCCGACCGCCCTGTTGTAAAGAGATATCCAATCACTAGTTGGGGTATGGATGGTCCAGTAGTCTAAGCCGTCGTAATTTGCTATGCAGAGTTGATTCCCTTGGGCACGCCAGAAACCTAGGATCGTCTGTTCGAATCCCTGTTCTCTCCGATAATATTTCTACATTTGTCAGCGCCATACTCGTGCTTGTGGGTTTCAGCAAATTTGTACAGTTTAAAGCCAGCATCATTCAGGTCTTTCCCATCACATCAAGCTGTTTTTTTGTTTGTTTTTTAACGCCGCACTGAGTGTGTGTAGATGCTTAGTCGGTTTTATTGTGCTTAGCCCACTGAGGGACGTTGTCGCTGTTTAACATGGATACCCCACTCAGACACAATTTATTAACTCCGTGCTGACCAGTCCTTGTTTGATCCAGATAATGCCGAGCGCCAGCCAGGAAAACAACAAAGACCATATGTTATATTAGGTGTGACGCGGCCGGGGATCGAACCGCCTACCTTCCGCTCTCCGGGCAACTGCGCTATCCACTAGACCACAGAACATTAAGGAATGATATAGCAATGCAATCATTAATTGTTCTCTCGTTAACTGAATGAGTCATATATCATTGTCGTAAACATAAAACCCGGCTGTCAACTTCATACCAAACAGACCGCCTCCGTGGTCTAGTGGTAGAGCGTCCGCCCGGAGAGCGTCATACCAAAAGAGGTTAAACGATGGTACTTGTTGTTACCCTGTCTGGCGCTCGGCATTTAGGGGCTAAAACAAGGACTGGTCGGCTCGGAGTCAGTATACTGTGTCTGAGTGGGGTATTCATGTTAAACTGCGGCATGTTATCTCAGTGGCTAGCACTATAAAATCGGCATCAGTCCGGACTAGTACAAGCAGCCACACACACACACGTGCATGCACGTCGCTATATAAGTGCAATAATCTTGGATGCGACGTTAAACCCCATTTCACCTCACCTCACCTCATACCAAACATAGAGAAACTCGAACTGTAGAGACTTTTATTTAATAAGAGGGTAGTCGCGCAGATGTCGCTACCTGTTGACGTGAAGCCCGACTGCATAATAACGACACCTCAGTCGTCCGTCTTCCTAATCACAAGAACGGGAAATAATAATAAAAACATTAACAACAATAACAACAACAACAACAACAATAATGTCACGATATGACACAGTCCTAAATACCTCCCTGAAAAACCTATGGTCGTTGGTTGGAACCCAAGATGCGTCCTGGTATTCCTTCTTGGTTTGGGAGGGTGACAATACACCATACCCGTGCTCGTGGGTTTCACCAAAGTGGTCACCGTCAAACACCTGCTTCACATCCGGCTTCCGTCCCACATCAATGAGTGAGTGAGTGAGTATGGTTTTACGCCGCTTTTAGCAATATTCCAGCAATATCACGGCGGGGGACACCAGAAATGGGCTTCACATATTGTACCCATGTCGGGAATCGAACCCAGGTCTTCGCCGTGACGAGCGAACGCTTTAACCACTAGGCTACCCGACCGCCCTGTTGTAAAGAGATATCCAATCACTAGTTGGGGTATGGATGGTCCAGTAGTCTAAGCCGTCGTAATTTGCTATGCAGAGTTGATTCCCTTGGGCACGCCAGAAACCTAGGATCGTCTGTTCGAATCCCTGTTCTCTCCGATAATATTTCTACATTTGTCAGCGCCATACTCGTGCTTGTGGGTTTCAGCAAATTTGTACAGTTTAAAGCCAGCATCATTCAGGTCTTTCCCATCACATCAAGCTGTTTTTTTGTTTGTTTTTTAACGCCGCACTGAGTGTGTGTAGATGCTTAGTCGGTTTTATTGTGCTTAGCCCACTGAGGGACGTTGTCGCTGTTTAACATGGATACCCCACTCAGACACAATTTATTAACTCCGTGCTGACCAGTCCTTGTTTGATCCAGATAATGCCGAGCGCCAGCCAGGAAAACAACAAAGACCATATGTTATATTAGGTGTGACGCGGCCGGGGATCGAACCGCCTACCTTCCGCTCTCCGGGCAACTGCGCTATCCACTAGACCACAGAACATTAAGGAATGATATAGCAATGCAATCATTAATTGTTCTCTCGTTAACTGAATGAGTCATATATCATTGTCGTAAACATAAAACCCGGCTGTCAACTTCATACCAAACAGACCGCCTCCGTGGTCTAGTGGTAGAGCGTCCGCCCGGAGAGCGTCATACCAAAAGAGGTTAAACGATGGTACTTGTTGTTACCCTGTCTGGCGCTCGGCATTTAGGGGCTAAAACAAGGACTGGTCGGCTCGGAGTCAGTATACTGTGTCTGAGTGGGGTATTCATGTTAAACTGCGGCATGTTATCTCAGTGGCTAGCACTATAAAATCGGCATCAGTCCGGACTAGTACAAGCAGCCACACACACACACGTGCATGCACGTCGCTATATAAGTGCAATAATCTTGGATGCGACGTTAAACCCCATTTCACCTCACCTCACCTCATACCAAACATAGAGAAACTCGAACTGTAGAGACTTTTATTTAATAAGAGGGTAGTCGCGCAGATGTCGCTACCTGTTGACGTGAAGCCCGACTGCATAATAACGACACCTCAGTCGTCCGTCTTCCTAATCACAAGAACGGGAAATAATAATAAAAACATTAACAACAATAACAACAACAACAACAACAATAATGTCACGATATGACACAGTCCTAAATACCTCCCTGAAAAACCTATGGTCGTTGGTTGGAACCCAAGATGCGTCCTGGTATTCCTTCTTGGTTTGGGAGGGTGACAATACACCATACCCGTGCTCGTGGGTTTCACCAAAGTGGTCACCGTCAAACACCTGCTTCACATCCGGCTTCCGTCCCACATCAATGAGTGAGTGAGTGAGTATGGTTTTACGCCGCTTTTAGCAATATTCCAGCAATATCACGGCGGGGGACACCAGAAATGGGCTTCACACATTGTACCCATGTCGGGATTCGAACCCGGGTCTTCGGCGTGACGAGCGAACGCTTTAACCACTAGGCTACCCGATCGCCTCTCGTCCCACATCAAGCTGACACACAGGACTTACAGGAATACTGTTCAAAGCGGTGTGAAACCCAACTCACTCACTCACTCACAGCTACATCATCCTGACACAACGGTTAACGCATGCTGACACGCAAACGGCGTTAAACCTGACGTGGATCCTGCACAGCTAATTGCGGTGCCTTGGATACTTGGTGTATCCAGATTGAAAGGGTCATACTTAAATTTGTTTTGTGTGTTTTTTGTTTGTTTGTTTGATTGTTTAACGCAGCACTCAGCAATAGTCCAGTTATATGTCTGCGGTCTGTTGTTAATCGAGTCTGGATCAGACAATCCAGTGATTGACATCATGAGCATTGATCCACCCAATTGGGATACGATGACATGCATCATCCAAGTCAGCGAGCCTGACCACCCGATCCCGTTAGTCACCTCTTACGGCAAGCATGGGTTACTGAACACCTTCACTGGTCGGTCATACTTATAAGCTTAAATTGAGACGATATGATTTTTCACGACGCACGTACCGCGCTTCAGGACATGGGGAGTTCACACAGGAATGGCGCCTTATAATTACACGCCGTGTCGTCGAGGCAGGTTTCAGTTTGTTTCCATATGTCAACACAGGGCATGCCATCATTTGGTTCATTTGGACACCAAAACCCCTTCTCGATGGGTTTTCCATTCATCCAGGTGTATTCGTAGGCGTCCCCTCGTTTGCCACTCGGTCGTTTACCATTCAGATGTGTACCAGTCAGCCTTTTAAGACTTGGTCGTTTACCACTAAGCCGTTTTCCACCAACAAATGCTACTCCGCCTGTGAGAGCAAAAAAACAATTGTTAGTTCACTATATGCAATATGCGGTTAATGTAAATTATTCTCGGGTCTCTGTGCTTAAAGTGCAAGTGATGAATATGCTGTGTTTTCCGTGTAGACCTAGTTTACCTGTAGATTTAACCGCACAGCGTGAGGTTTCAAATGATCAGTTTAGCGCGTTTAATTCACAGGTAACCTAGTTCTGCATTCAAAACACAGAATGTTTATTTCCATCCTACCACGACTAAAATAAACCTGAACTCGGTCTGTTGTTTTATTGTTTAACGCCGCACTCAGCAATTCTCCAGCTATATGACGGCGGTCTGTAAATAATCGAGTCTGGACCAGACAATCCACTGATTGACATCATGAGCATCGATCCATGCAATTGGGATCGATGACATGCATCAACCAAGTCAGCGAGCTTGACCACCCGATCCCGTTAGTCGCCTCTTACGACAAGCATAGTCGCCTTTTACGGCAAGCATGGGTTGCTGAGGACCTATTCTACCCCGATTCGTGACCAACTCGTGGTATTCCGGGACAAGCCGAATAGCGATTCGTGCCCCTCTCATGGGCATTTTTGCGACCGGGTTCCGTCTTAGCGCAAACGGGCATACCTAAAACAATTGTGTGTGTGTGTGTGTGTGTGTGTGTGTGTGTGTGTGTATATATATATATATATATTTAGATGCAATTTAAAGCACATCTGGACATGCGGAATTATACAGTATGATTGGGCACATTTAACTGTGTCTTGGGTATATTTTTAGATGCAAGACATATGTAAAATCTAAAATTGTTTCTGAGGGATTCTTTGACGAAAAATTTGAAATCATACGCGCATTCTGATTGGTTTGTCGTATTTTCGCACATAATATTCATCGATGGGGGACGAGTCTTCTTGCAGGTTACGGAAAGGGGCGAATAGTGACGAATGATTCTACCCCGGAACTTCACGGGGCTGTGAACTCGGAGTTACGGAAGATATTGAGTGAGCGACATGGGCTTTGCTTTGAATGGGTTGTCGATTTCAATTCAGGAAATGGGCGGTGAGGTAGCCTCGTGGTTAAAGCATTCGCTCGCCACGCGGTAGAACCGGGTTCGATTCCCCACATCGGTACAATGTGGGAAGCCCTTTTCTGGTCCCGCGCTCGTGCTGCCCGTGCTGGAACATTGCTAAAAGCAACGTAAAACCATACTCACTCACTTAGGGAACACCGATTGTGTAGTAGATAAAGCGTCTACCCGGAGAGCGGAAAGTCGGTGGTTCGATCCCCGGCCGCGTGATATCAAAAGATGGTACTTGTTGTTTCTCTGCCTAGCGCCCTGCACTAAGGTGGTGAACCAAACAAAATCGCCTGACGAACTAGACATCCGGTTCGTAAGCAACATCGATTCCAACGTGCAGATTTCGGTCGACTGCAGGATTTCCAAAGCATGTGTACCGTCAACTGGGCGTCGACAGATATTTTGCCATTTTTTTCATTTTTTCAATCAAGGTGCTCATGTGATCTGATGTACTTCGTGGGGTAAGACCAGTTTTATTACGATATATTTTGTTTGAAGCAAATGCAAGCGATATGAGCGATGGAATTTTATTGGTCAATAGGAGGGACATTGAAGGGACATAACTCGTAATAGCCACTGGTGGCGATACGATCGAGCCTGGAAATTCCAGCCTAGTTCGGCTAGGGTGGAAAGAGGACTTTTATAGTCAATTAATGTCCTTGCCTCAGGAAGATGAATATTTACAGGACGCTGTAATCCAGTTCGAATATTACAGACTGCGACATCAATCCAACGCTTTTGGAGGATGGCATTTACTCTTCACATGACATTATGTCAAAAATATTCCAGGGCTTTAAAGGATGTTTGATTAATCAGAGGCACAAGCCGTCATTCGTTTTACCAGATACAATACAACCTACCTTTTAGATGTTCAGTAACATAACGTTGGACAGCAGAGAATTTTTCCCTTTCATCCAGAATAACAAGTCGTCCATTCTTTCCAAGATTCAAACAATTGGTATTTGCGTCAGTCCATGTCTTCTTTGCAGTGATCAGCTTGAAACAGAAGTTCAACGTCTTGTTGTATTGGAAGTCAGAAGGGCAATATCTCCCTGCGTGTAAAACACATTAAACATGTAGCTCACTTAATTATGTAGTCAACCGTTAAAACGTCAACGAAGACAACTTTTGTTGTCAGCACTTACAGGGTACAATTTCTGATTAAATATTGAAGCCAAGTAAGAAACAAATAATAAAATATGAATAATTTCTGAATATATTACAATAAATGTAATGTTTTAATTTTTAACATGGTTGCAGTACACAAAGTTAATACCTTCTAATGATGTTTGTTGTTTGTTGTTTAACGCCGCACTCAGCAATATTCCAACTTCTAATGATAATAGTTTTCTCGTTCTAAGCTGGGTGACATAAACATTAATACTTAAAGAAACAATGTAACCACATACTCTAGTGAGAATCATTTACCTTGTGAACTTAAACGGGAGTTCCGAATGTAAATAATAAAAACTGAGTAATATTGTTTGTGGATATCTACCCATCCTTTCGTTTCTGAGCGCCATGACATATACACACAAAGGCGAGTACATTCGAAGGAGGCGACTATGCTTGTCTTAAGAGACGAATAACGCGATCGGGCGGTCATGCTCGTAGACTTGGTTGATGCATGTCATCGTATCGTATTCGCCGCTTACGACAAGCATAGTCGGGTCTTCACGGGTCTGCTTCCGTGAGGAATGGTCTGGTGGAAAAGATCTGAATCCCATGTGGCCTACACAAGACATCTAAAAGAAACTGGCCTTAAAGGGCCAGGATGTGGGTTCACCAGGAAGAGATTATAAAAAATTATTATTATGTAATAAAGTAAAATCAATAAAAATGGAATTAGCGGAGAGGGTTTCTGTATGGTAAATATAGTAGGAAAGCAAATTTATTATTTTAGTTTTTGGAGAGCATAATACATATTTTTTATTCCTAAGTATATGATATCTACGATACAGAAACACAGGAGGTTACTCATGTCTTTATCCTTCTTAAAATAAAGGGGGGCACGGGTGGCCCAGTCGTCTAAGGCGCCGCGATTCGCTGTGCAGAGTTGCGTCCCTTAGCCACGCCAGAAACCCTATGATTGTGGGTTCGAATCCCGGTTCGCCCCAATTATGTTTCTAGGTTTGTCAGCACCATACCCGTGCTCGTGGGTTTCACGGAAGTGGTAAACTTCTGAGACCTGCATCACTTCAGGCTTTCCTCCCACATTAAGCTGGCACGCATTGATATAACTAAATAATGTTAAAAGCGGCGTTAAACCCAACTCACTCACTTAAAACAATGGGTGTTCAAGACGTAATTTCACTCAATGAATAAGCTTTAGAAATCGCGTATGAATACAATTTTTGATTGAATCACCTTATTGATCAAATAGTGCCAAATGACTTGCAGCCATTTTTGTCGCCATGGTTGGGGGGACACATTGGGAAAAACCTGGTGTGTAGTTTATGGGCAAAGAATGCATCGCATTGATATATGGAGCTTGAAAGTAGTTACTCATCTGCATATTTCGGTTCGTGATGCCAAGTTTATCGCATCGATAACACAAACCTTTATATATGATATAACATATTTACCTAAACTCATTTGAATCAGCTTCTCGTCCATCATTCTGGAAACATCATCCACATCGGTCCGGCACACGTCCTTCATTTGTTTCTCAAGGTCATCCAGCTGGTCCAGCATTAAATTCTCCAAGGCGTCTACACTGGTTTTAAGATGGGCCAGACCGCTTGAGACCTTCCTTGTTTCCTCCTGTAGTGTCTCAATAGGTGATGAATTAACATGCAGCGTGTGGACCATTCTTTCTCCACGTACAAACCCAGCAACCATGATGAAACCAATGCACAGTGTTGCCACCATATTGGTCACGATGGTCAGGCTTGAAATACCACAAGAAAGCTTGTTGGTGCGTTTATATAATCTGCTTAATGCGTACGTACGTGTGACCTTTCTTTGTGTCTTTCAAACGTCTGGAAACCTGAGGTTCCATGCCAGTAATGCGTTTGCCTCTTTGGCAGATGCGTGGCCAGGTCAACAGAAGTGCCAACGAATTTACCATTGTTGTGAATTGACACGCTAGTTAACTAACAAGGTTACTGTGTTGAATAATGGGGTTTTACTCTCATAAACCTCATTGCTATACTGGCTGACATGACTGATTAACTCTATTACTCATTGTGCGCTACTTGACAGTTATAATTAACATTGTATTAAAACACATCTGTGACGTCATTCCATTGTTTGAACGCTCCATTATTTTTCAGGAATGGAGAGTTGTTTGTCAACTGTACATTATCTTGAAGCAACATTTGAATTAATTTCCACTTGGAACAGACGGAACTATTTTTTTACATTTATTTACAAGTGAATATTTTCATTTTTTTCCGAAAACATGTGTTGCCAGCGGGGTTCGAACCCGCATCGTTAGATTTGAAAACGTGTAATTGTCAACCTCAGCTACTGTGGCACATGAAGAAATGACATGAAATTAACTATTAAATATTTTCATAATTTTGCATAATGCTTAAAAGCTCAAAATAATATGTATATATTTTGTGTTAGAGCAGGTTACCCACAACAATGTTCATATTTATAGATAGTTGGATAAACCTTTGACGAGAAAAAACAAATAAGGTAACATAAATATCGCTTGTTCGGGGCTCTATATTTCCTATTATACCAATCAGCATGTATTAACAATGTGCAAGCGATTGATAAATACTAGTTTAGGACCCAACAACATTATGAAGAGCCGTGTACCATGCATTGTAAATGTCAACTCGCCACGGAGCTTGGCGCACGTGCAACAGCGGCAGAGAACGCATTCCTCGTGCATCACCGCAAGGTCGACTCACGCAGTATGAATGCAGACAAAAAAGAGTTCTGGTTTATTTTTCAAATATTTTCAACTACATGTACAGAATATTTTGTCTAAGTGTAAAAGTAGGGATGAGTTTTAAGTAGGGGAATATCCTCGTAACTCTCCATTCCTTAAAAATAATGGGACTCGGCCCCTGCGGGGCCTCTGCTCCATTATTTTTAAGGAATGGAGAGTTACTCGGACATTCCCCTCTACGTAAAGAATCCAGTATGCGTCAAGGACATGACTTATTGGGTGTAACGACAAACATCATTGGCGCTGTTCTTAATGCTACTATTCTACACAGACCACGAATCACGAATTGATAAATTTTAGGATTCGTAGTTGAATCGTAATCAGTTCGTGAAATTCTTAACTGATTCGCATATAGTCGTAGTTAGTTCTTACAATTCTTGAGCTAGCGGGAAGTCGTGGCAAAAGTTTTGAGCTGTTCAAAGTTTTGGCCACGAACTCCCGATTCAAAAATATCGTAGTTAATTCGTAACAAATTCGTAATGCATTCGTAGGTATTCTTAACTCATTCGGGGATTCGTGAATTCGTGGCTTTACGACGGATCGGCTACGAATCTGTCACGAACCCCACGAATACACGCCGAAGCAGGTAGGAAGCTCACGATCCAATCACAAATCAGCTACGATTGCCGGCAAATTGGGTATATAAGGAAATTAAAATTGATTTCAGGTCATTAGCTGCTGACGATTGTGACATTATAACACGAAATTCACGATTCAGCAAGATGCTCTACGTTGGACATCCATTTTGAAGCTGATTCCTGAGCATGGGTGGGGGCCTTTTTATAGCGATCTTGAGGGAAAACCCCCAAAATTGTCAAGAATAGTCACGAATTCATTTTTATTCGTACCTGATTCGTACATGCATTCGGCGTATTCGTAACTGATTCGTAACTGAATACTTTCGTGCAGTATTCGAAATAGCTTCTTGTAAATCGTAGTGAATTCTGGACAATATTCATGCGAATGCAGCCGAATTCCACGAATGTTCGTAACTCTATCGTACCTGTATCGTAACTAGATCGTAGAGGCACCAACTGAACCAGAATATTTGCTAAATTCCACGAATTATCACGATTCCTAAAATTTACAGATCGTGGCGATTCGTGGGATTGGTGCTCTGTGAGGAATAGTAGCATAATATCGTACATTTTGGTTTCGAGTAGAAAACCCTGACGGCCAAGGTGACACCGTGTTGACGAAGGTATAACCCAAATTAACCTTGGTTTCGATTGTTGATACAAATAATTTAGAATTATGAATGCAAATTTAATGATGATTTTCCATGTCGTGTTTTAACTTTGTCGTTTTACATGCATTAAATAGAAAAAAAGATCACGGTTCATAACTTTGTGTAAATAAATAACGCCTATTTTACGACAAGCACAGACTAACACTTTTCAGGCAAGGAGACTGAAGAGTTTATAAGTGATTCTGTTTCATCGACTGTTGACCGCCTCCGTGGTCTAGTGGTAGAGAGCGGAAGGTCGTGGGTTCGATCCCCGGCCGCGTCTTGCCAAAAGACGTTAAAAGATGGTACTTGTTGTTACCCTGTCTGGCGCTCGGCATTAAGGGGCTAAAACAAGGACTGGTCGGCTCGGATTCAGTATCCTGTGTCTGAGTGGGGTATTCATGTTAAGCTGCGGCATGGTATCTCAGTGAGCTAGCACTATAAATCTGATTTAAGATCGTCCCAAAACTTGAAGCGCACATAAAATCGGTTTTAGTAATGTTCCATCATTGAAAAGACATAAATGAACAAGTTAATAACACCAATTCTCACTTGTATTGATATCATTGCAAAGCTAATGCTTTCACAATGTAATGGGCATAATATTTTGTTGTTGTTGTCAAATTGTTCTTTTGTGTGTTTTGAAAACACTTGAAAGCGCGGTTTTGTCCAAAGTTTGACTTTAGACACATGAAATACAACTATTCGATGAAGTTTTTCAAAATACATGTCTATGCTGAATAAAAGGCAAAACCATATGCTTTAATTTGCAATGAATTTTGATGAAATAAATAAACTATTTCAGAAATTATTTCCTGTTTCGTGAAAATAGGTGTTCGTCTATTTTATTTCAGGCATTGCCATGGAAACGTGTTGATTACCATGTGCTATACCTATTTCATAGGACAAAAACCATACTTTTCTCAGAGTAGATATATTCCATCAATAAAAAATATGTAGTGAATTGTTATACCCACCTATCTAAATGAGTCCCAAACCACGAGTCCATATATTTTAGACCACTTCCCACAGACCTAGTGACCGCCTCCGTGGTCTTGTGGTAGAGCGTCCGCCCGGAGAGCGGAAGGTCCAGGGTTCGATCCCGGGCCGCGTCATACAAAAAGACGTTAAAAGATTGTACTTGTTGTTACCCTGTCTGGCGCTCGGCATTAAGGGGCTAAAACAAGGACTGGTCGGCTCGGAGTCAGTATACTGTGTCTGAGTGTGGTATTCATGTTAAACTGCGGCATGGTATCTCAGTGAGCTAGCACTATAAATCGGCATCAGTCCGGACTAGTACAAGCAGCCACACACACACATACACGTGCATGCACGTCGCTATATAAGTGCAATAATCTTGGACGCGACGTTAAACCCAATTTCACCTCACCTCACAGACCTAGTATATTCAACCCGCGAGGGTTCCTGGGTAGAATTGGTCACCAGCAACCTGTGTTTGTCGTAAGATGGTTCGGGTGGTCAAGAAATGGTGACTTGTTTGATAGCGTGTTATCGTGCCCCAATGGTGTGGACCGATGACCACAATCACTTAATTTTCTGGTCCAGACTCGATAAGTAATTACAGGAAAATTGCTGAGTGCGGCGGTAAACAACAATCACTGTAAACTCGTATAGGCATAATTCATCATCCAAAACTGGCTTCCACAGGATGAGATCCAGCGATAACTACACTGTAGATATCGCTGCAATGAAATTACATCACAATGCTTTGCAGACTATTGTGACGTCATTGGTTACCATGACGTCACAATCAAATGACATCGCTAATGGCCCTGCTACTGAAGCTGTTAACAGTACTTTTTACACTTAAGACTGTGCTTATGACTGTCTACAAACTGAAAAAGTTTAAAGAGAAAGATGTTGGAGGATAAATAAAATCTCACCCTCGTGTCTTTTGATATCAAATATATCAACACTCGTTGATATATTTGATAAGCCGAGGATTTTTGCCACTTTTATCAACTCGTGTTGATATATTTGATATCAATAGACACGAGGGTGAGATTCTCTATATATCATCCAAAACTGGCTCTCACAGGAGATATCGCTTGGATGAGATCAAGCGATATCTACACTGTAGATATCGCTGCAATTAAATTACATCATAATGATTTGCAGACCATTGTGACGTCATTGTTACCATGACGTCACAATCAAATGACATCACTAATGGCTCTGCTACTGAAGCTGTTAGCAGTACTTTTGACACAGGAGACACTGCTAATTACTGTCTACAAATTGAAAAAGTTGGAAGAATGATGTTGGATGATAAATAAAATCTCACCTCGTGTCTTTTGATATCAAATATATCAACACTCGTTGATATATTTGATAAGCCGAGGATTTTTGCCACTTTTATCAACGAGTGTTGATATTTGATATCAAAAGTCACTCGGGTGAGATTCTCTATATATCCCACGTGATGAAAAAAAACCTGGCAGTATTTATACTTTATACGCCAAAACGCAATATGTATATACATGTAAAGACGTTATCATGCCAAAAAAATTTGCTGTTTCTGCGCTTTTTTTCCTCAACATAACGCAAGTTAAACTCCTTATTCCGCAATGACAGATTCAAGTTTGTGCACATGTGCAAATGTTTACTCTGAAGCTCCCCACACGGTTAATTTGTAGGTGTCGCTGAAAGCGTAACAAGAATGCAAACGGAGTTCAGAGTTTGTAGTGTTTTGATATTGCTTGGTGACGTCATATCGAGGTTAACCACACGTACATCTAAAGTAGGGTTAACCTCAAAGCGAAGGTTGTTAGCGCAATATCTGCTGACGGGATATTTAAATAGATGTGATAATATATATATGAGCCGGTGGTATGGGGTAATTTCAGTTCTACTGGTGTCAGATGAGAGACGACTGTCTAAAACGACGCAGATATGTCCGGGTACAGAAGACTAAAAAGTGAGACTTGACTGAACTGACAGCTGAAGATAGGGTAAGTTTGGAATTACTGTGTACCGTTAGTGAGGATTCGTTACTTGGGAAAATAATACAATACTCCGCAGGGATATTATTTATATTTTCATGATACACAAACCTGATTCTCGTATTATGTTAATTTTATATTTCCATGTAGAAAGATATTTGGTCGGTTGGCTTGTTGTTTAACGTCGCAATCAGCAATATTCAAGCTATATGACGGCGGTCTGTAAATAATCGAGTCTGGACTAGACAATCCAGTGATTGATATCATGAGCAACGATCCACGCAATTGGGATCGATGACATGCATCAACCAAGTCAGCGAGCCTGACCACCCGATCCCGTTAGTCGCCTCTTACGACATGCATAGTCGCCTTTTACGACAACAGAAAGACGTATTTGATTATCCCTATAAAAAGTTGAGTGGTAGCATATGGCCCCCATATTAAGTGTCCATAGAGGTACATGATGAGACCGGATCTTTTGGCAATGTAACAGGTAGAGATGAATAACTGATCAAGTATTTAGGGACTGATAATTTAAGGGGGAGGGGGTTCATGAAAAAATGACAATTAATAAATTATAAATTTGTACAATTTGACCGGTCATTTATTATGGAGGAACAAGAAAAAAATGTTACATATAACTGAAGCGGTGGGGGTGTCGACAAAATATGATACAATCCTAAGACCAATCTCACCCCACCCCTCACCCCACCGCTCAACACCAATCTCTTAAACCTCAGGTGTATTGCGGTGTGCTTCTTTTGGGCCGATCAAGACTATTTAACTTCTCCATTTCAACAGAGCGTGTGAGACGAACCTGCCATGACCTTCACGATGACAAGTCAAGGATGCGATGACCCTACTAAAGTATGCCTCTACCATGACAAGAAATGGAGAAGCCGTTTCCAGTTCTTCATCAATCAAATAAGAGGTGAAATAGTCCCGGTTATCAACCTAGCCAAGTTTCAAAAGCTAGTGTGTACCTGCAAAGCTCAAGGTAATGACTATTTATCCCAGAGATGCATGGTAGGGCTGGGACGGGTAACTCGGGTACTCAGGTCGGGTGGTTCCTGAGTGACCGGATACCCACAGGACTACCCGGACCCGTGGTTAGTCACGTGATATATTGTTTAATGGCAAAAATTATCTGGAACTTCCACGGTTACACTATAAGTGACTAATGTTCAAAGTTCTTTCTGACTATGCACCCATTCCTTCTGACTTTATATGTTTGAATAGATATAAAACTTTAGTCAACTTCAGTGTATTCATGACCAGATCGTTTTCTATGAGTATCTAAATACATTTTGCAAGGGCTACGATCAAACTATTCCCAACCGGACATTTGTACCCATCTCTTGTTAAGACCTACAGCGGGTACCGGGTAGGGTCGGGTAATAGTGGGGTGGGTACCCGGGTAGTAAATTTGGACTCGTCCCAGCCCAAGAACTAATACATGGCATCAAACATTTGGACTCATTATCTGCAAAGTCCCATTTTCAGACGTATAATTGTTCATGTAATGATTGCAGTTTTTAGAAATAATATCTGATTAATTGAAAGTAGATTTGTGTGCTGAAATGTTTTGAAATAATGATTTGTGAGAGAAAAATAAGATATGTTTGTACAGTTCACACAAATGGCGATTTATATATGGTAGTAAGTTGACGTCAGAGTTCTATTTTTATGACATCAGAGTATAATTTTATCGTAGCACCCAAAAGGTCACTTTTCTTCTGGAAGGTCACGTGTGATATTTATGATACGGGAAACAGGTTATAATCTCTTCATCATCTATAGGATGTGTAGGAATATTACACCTGAGTAAACTGACCCATCTATGATGTAGTGCCAGATGAATTGCAGCCATGTTTGTTTACATGAGCACTCACACATTGGGAAATCAGTATTTAATGATTAATGGAACGTGATGCAATAGTTTTTGACAAGAAACACCACTTCGACATACACAGCATACTGAAAGTAGGTCAAGCTTAGTGACCTAATTTGCATATTTATCAGACCATGATACCAAGTATATCGGATTAGTTTATCCCATCGATAACACTATTTATTATATACTAAATTATTATTTATCGAAGTTGAAAAGAGCCAAAAAATGATATCAGATAATTTTTATCCTTTCCAGATCCAGAGACATTTCCTAAGGATTTTGACAAGGTCTTGTCTGAGTTTTCGATCAGAGATATACCCCAAAAAGAAGCCAGAGAGTTTGTGGAGTATCTTTATAGGTCAGACATCTGGAAAACAGAACAAACTAGAAGTACAAGTGCCAAGAATCTCATCTACCTTCTGCAGTGTTCACTGCAACAGGACTTTGGCCTCATTGATGGTCACGACTCCAGGCCTGACCCAGCCAACCCGGCCAACTGGACATCAACAACGGTCAGATTTACGGTGAAGAAATTTGAGTCTCATTTCATGGGTTTTTTCATTGGCATCAAGGGTCGAAATATCCGTACGGTAGAGAGAAAGTTTAAGTGCAAGATCCGTCTGAAGGCGGAGTTTGTCTCCAGTCAGGGTTGTGGAATTGCAGCAGTGATTGAATACCTTTCAAGCAAACCTGTAACTTTGGAAGATATTTCTCAATGTCTTGAGAAAGAAGCTAATCGGATTGTCGTTGAAAGAGAATACTGTCAGCAGAAGGTAGGTGTTTGACTTGCTTCAGAACAAACAACTGTATTACCTTTGGAGATGGTACAAGGAATGATAGAATGTCTTTGTTAGTTAGTTCCACATGATTAAATTTTGATGAGATAAGCTCATACTTTTCCCAGAATAGTCCATTGTGACCAGGGATTTGGGTCAGGCAGATCCGCAAAGAGTTGTCTCCCTTGATCGTGTCAGGATCCCCATGATGCTTGATTTGTGAAGACCACTCCTGTACTTGTGGGTTTTACCACAGCACCAGAGATATACTACTACAAAAGGTTCAGGACCCCCCGATTCTTTTTTATTATTAGTTAATTAATGACCATGATGACGGATTAACTACAGTAAAATAAAGAATCAGGTGATACATATTTTGAAGTAGTATATATATATTTATGTATGAGTACAATACGAGGAACTACAGTCATTATATCAAGTTGTCAGGGGCCACATTTTGCTCAGTTGCCAGATATCGTTGTGCAGAGTTGCCTACCTTAGGCATGTTAGGAAAGCCTGAACCATGATCGTAGGTTCTGATTATTTTTCTAGGTCTGTCAGCATCATACCAGTGCTTGTGGCTTTCACCAAAGTGGTAAACCTGAAAGAGCTGCATTACCGCGGTCTTTCCTCCCACAAACTGACAGAGCACTGTGATATAAATAATGTACTGTTCAAAATGGGGTTAACCCCAACTCACTGACTCCGAAGTTATCAAGAGATATGTTGCAAGTGGGACATATATCCGAATTTTTATGTTCCATTTTCATAATTGTGGGGGCCAAGTTTGTGCTCCCAACATACCATTGCGTGTTGTCATAGGAACCCTATGTGGATCTTGTGGTCATGTGCTGTGCCCCAATCTCATTTAGATCAAATGTTTTACTCTGGTCGAACACCTCACTGCATCACAGTCTGACAACACCTCCACCATAAAGGAAAATTCACATAAAACATTCGCCGAGAGGGGTGACTTCTGATCTTCATGCAGAGATTTGATTTTTATTATCCCCCGCCTCGAAGTGAAAGGGGGATAAAGGAATGGGTGCTGTCCTTCCGTCCATCCATCCGTCCCTTGTTTTGTTTCCGGACCAGAATTAAAAAAACATGAGAGATATCTTAACCAAACCTGGTACATAGATAGGTCTGTTGGTGAACAGGTGCCTTTTGATAGTTTGGGACTTTTTAAATTCTATTTTATCGAATTTCCATAGCAATGACTTGACTTATACTGAAAATAGCAGTAGTGCTCATTTCCGGAGCAGATCTTGAAAACTGTACAGTATTTCTTGCGCACAACCGGACAAGTCATATTGGTGTCACATGAGTATTTCATGGTTGTTGTGACTGATCATGCCCGGACAACGTGGATTGTTGTTCATGCTTTCACTCACTGGTTTGTCTGGTCCAAACTCACTTTTTTGCAGATTGCTGTAATATTGCTGAAATATTGCCGACTGCATCGTTAAACAACATTCACCTACTCACTTGACTCCAAATTGAGATTAAAAGATGTTTCTTTTGAAACAACATTTTGAACATTAATATCATTAATATCAGATGATGTGATCTTTCTGTCAGACGCTGGAGTACTATCGGAAAAAGAGTGGAAGGAGACACAGGACATTCCGCCCCAAAGGTAACTAGATCGGCAGTTTTGTCGACCATTAGATAACATTTCTGTGTTCTGTATTGGCCATATTAAGTGGCCTGCTCTTGTAACCACCCCCTCACCAACTTCAAGAATGATCTGTGAGTAATCTTAGTAAGCACCCCCGTATAACACCGATTATTTACATTTGTCCACATTTCCTTGGGTAAACATGGTAAATGACACAAGATTTACATGACGATCCATATTTTCTTGTATAAATGAGACAAGAATTTCATGAAGGTCCATATTTTCTTGTATAAATGAGACAAGATTTACATGACAGTCCATATTTTCTTGTGTAAATGACACAAGATTTACATGACGGTCCATTTTTTCTTGGGTAAATGACACAATACTTACAGAAAACTGCAGTACAGAATGGTATATAATTGCCATGTGACTGTTTATATCAAAGTTGTTTTAGTTTCGTTGATGTTTGAACTAGGTTTGTTCACTTCTTCCGAATTCTGTGAACAAATTTCACTAATATATCACTAATAATATACACAAGATATTGTGTGACCGAAAGGGACGAAACTCCTTGTACGAATTTTGATTTCATGAATATTTATTTCTTCTGTACGATCATATATATTTGTCATAAAGATGTAGGTCATGTTTTTGTTTATAGTTTACAAATAACACCTGGTCGGGTTGCCATGGTAAATTGTTTGTTTACCTTGATTCCATTTCATTGGTTCAAAAGAGCTAATGTTCTGTTTTGAGAGGTACAAAATTATCCCTTATTCCTAACAACTGTTTTGTGGTAGCAGGGTTTGCATTAGCTGCATCTAAAAAATATAAGCATACTTATTTGAATATAAGTGTTTAGGAAGCAAATCGCGTAGCAGTTTTCCAAGATTATGATTCATGTCCATCATGGGTTATTAATGAGATATGTTCCGAATCAGGAATCTACAGTGATCTCTCGCTATAACGCTACCTTTGGGGTCCAAATAATTTATGAGTGTTATAGACGATCAGTGGTTTTTAACCTGTATGAGGAAAATACTAGGGGACTGTCAATAGCTTTGTGTTGCCGCAAGTCAAAATCAAAATCATTCATAGTGACAGAACAGAGATACGGTTACCGCAGCTACAGTCCGTTTGACGCCAAATGAGAACGATGAATTGCAAAATAACTCGAAATCCAGAAAAGTGTATTTTGCAATTCATCGTTCTCATTTGGTGTCAAATGGACTGTAGGCTTGCATGTTCAGAAGAAAGTGAATGTCATGTGCTTTTATTCTACTTGTACAGATTCTCACATCAATGAGAAGACAGCAAGCAGAAGGAAGTACGCGAAGAGAGTGGGAGGCAGAAGAAAACAGTAAGTTCTAGGGCTGGGACGAGTCCAGATTTACTACCCGGGTACCCTTCCCGCTATTTCCCGACCCTACCCATGATAGGTCCCAAGAGTTGGGTACAAAATGTCCCATTGGTAATAGTTTGACTGTAGCCCTGGCAATATGTATTTAGATACACATATAAAACGATCTGGTCGTGCATACGCTGAAGTTGAAGTTTTTTATCTTTGTTCAAACATATAAAGGTCAGAAGGAATGGGTGCATAGTCAGAAAGAAATGCAAGCATTTGTGACTTGAAGTGTAACCATAGAGTTCTAGATAATTTTTGTCCTTAAACAATACGTCTAGTGACCACGGGTCCAGGTAGTCCTGTGGGTACCCGGGTCCTACTCAGTACCCACCCGACCCAAGTACCTGAGTACTCGAGTTACACGTCCCAGTCCTAGTCAGTTCATGACATATAACTTGATACAGGGATTTTCTTTAGGATAAGTGGTCGTGGCAGCCAAATTGTGAGAAAAAAACATTTGTTTAAGAGTGGGATTTCTTAGGATTCGTATTTTCTAAAACTCAGAAGTATTTCCCTTTTTCTTTCTACTTGACCTGTTATCTGTGAAATACAAGTTGGGATATTTTAATTCCAATTTGGGAATGTTTACTGACATTTGTTGCAGACTTAGGGCCGAATATCAATCTCATAAAAATCATATCTTAGTTCTCGCTACAGCTGAACAAAGATCTGAGGACATCACATTAAGGGCCACATCAGGCCGACCTTTTGGAACTTTGACTGACCTATGGAATGACTGGCAAGAAGTCAACATTAGCCAATCAGAAGGCAGCTTTCTCGTGCTTTACAGCACTAATTTTAAATTGGCGACTTCCCTTTGAAACATATTTTGACAAATTCTCGATTAAAACTTTGAAACCAGAACAAAAGAACATTCTGGACTGTCATTAAGCCCGTAACTATCGTTCAGAATACCCAATGTTAAAGTTTTCAAGGTTGCATGATTAGGAATCACATTCCGACTGTCACTTTCATGATCTGGTAAGCAACGCTCTGATTGGTCGAATGAAAGGTCTTCTGACGTGACCCCTAATGGGATGTCCTCAGATCTTTGTTTAGCGATAGCGAGAACTATACATGAATCTGTAAGCCTGATAATGATTAGTTAAAATACACTTTGTAATGTTACAGCATGTAGCACACATTAAAATAAGACATCAATCTATTGTTTCAACTGTAGATTATCTGTAACTAATTACAAATTTACTTACCTACTTTCTGCAATGAAAGTTTTAAGCTCAATGCATTAATTCTAAGCATGTGCATTTAACAAATGTACTGGCTACAATAATCAAATAGTCTATTAAATGTTAATATGATACATGGCAGTGAATACCCTGTACCCAACAATATCTGCTGTTTGTTATTTTTATAACAGGTAGTACAGATACTGATGATCACCATGGCAACAGTCAATATATCTATCATAAACAGGGGCCAGTCTGTCTCAGTGTTTGTTTGTTTGTTTGTTGTTAAACGCCGTACTCAGCAATATTCCAGCTATTTGACGGCAGTCTGTAAATAATCGAACCAGGACCAACAATCCAGTGATTGACATTATGAGCACGGATCCATGCAATTGGGATGCGATAATATGCTTCAACCAATTCAGCGAGACTGACCACTTGATCCTGTTAGTTGCCTCTTAATGACAAGCGTGGGTTGCTGAAGGCTAATTCTGATGCGGATCTTCTCAGGGACTGTCTCAGTGACTATTTTTATTTTATATTTTTTAATGGATGTATATGTTTATATTCCATCATGTTGGGGGCACGGGTGGCCCAGTCGTCTAAGGCGCCGCGATTCGCTGTGCAGAGTTGCGTCCCTTGGACACGCCAGAAACCTATGATTGTGGGTTCGAATCCCGTTTCGCCCCGATTATGTTTCTAGGTTTGTCAGCACCATACCCGTGCTCGTGGATTTCACCGAAGTGGTAAACGTCAGACCTGCATCACTTTGGGCTTTCCTCCCACATTAAGCTGACACGCCGTGATATAACTGGATTACTGTTAAAAGTGGCGTTAAACCCAACTCACTCACTCACTCATATTCCATCATGGTCATATGTGATTTTGTGTTTGCAGCTACCATGTCAGACATGAAAATGTCTCCAAACTTGAAGGGAGCCGATGCCTCAACTGTTTGGTCAGCTACACAACACCGCTGTTCAAGGATGCTAGGTGTACCCACCACCCTGGATACATAGGTATTGACATTATTGTCCTGTTGCTATGCAACACCACTGTTCAAGGATGCTAGGTGTACCCACCACCCTGGATATATAGGTATTGACATTATTGTCCTGTTGCTATGCAACACCACTGTTCAAGGATGCTAGGTGTACCCACCACCCTGGATACATAGGTATTGACATTATTGTCCTGTTGCTATGCAACACCACTGTTCAAGGATGCTAGGTGTACCCACCACCCTGGATACATAGGTATTGACATTATTGTCCTGTTGCTATGCAACACCACTGTTCAAGGATGCTAGGTGTACCCACCACCCTCGATACATAGCTATTAACATTATTGTCCTGTTGCTATGCAACACCACTGTTCAAGGATGCTAGGTGTACCCACCACCCTGGATACATAGGCATTGACATTATTGTCCTGTTGCTATGCAACACCGCTGTTCAAGAATGCTAGGTGTACCCACCACCCTGGATACAAAGGTATTGACATTATTGTCCTGTTGCTATGCAACACCACTGTTCAAGGATGCTAGGTGTACCAACCACCCTGGATACATAGGTATTGACACTATTGTCCTGGTGCTATGCAACACCGCTGTTCAAGGATGCTAGGTGTACCAACCACCCTGGATACATAGGTATTAACATTATTGTCCTGTTGCTATGCAACACCACTGTTCAAGGATGCTAGGTGTACCCACCACCCTGGATACATAGGTATTGACATTATTGTCCTGTTGCTATGCAACACCACTGTTCAAGGATGCTAGGTGTACCCACCACCCTGGATACATAGGTATTGACATTATTGTCCTGTTGCTATGCAACACCACTGTTCAAGGATGCTAGGTGTACCCACCACCCTGGATACATAGGTATTAACATTATTGCCCTGTTGCTATGCAACAACGCTGTTCAAGGATGCTAGGTGTACCCACCACCCTGGATACATAGGCATTGACATTATTGTCCTGTTGCTATGCAACACCACTGTTCAAGGATGCTAGGTGTACCCACCACCCTGGATACATGGGTATTGACATTATTGTCCTGTTGCTATGCAACACCACTGTTCAAGGATGCTAGGTGTACCCACCACCCTGGATACATAGCTATTAACATTATTGTCCTGTTGCTATGCAACAATGCTGTTCAAGGATGCTAGGTGTACCCACCACCCTCGATACATAGGTATTGACATTATTGTCCTGTTGCTATGCAACACCGCTGTTCAAGGATGCTAGGTGTACCCACCACCCTGGATACAAAGGTATTGACATTATTGTCCTGTTGCTACGCAACACCACTGTTCAAGGATGCAAGGGTAATTTATTGAAGGGTAAGGGCTGAGACGAATCTAAGTTTACCACCCAGGTAGCCGACCCCCTATCGAGGACCCTACCCGTGTACCCACAATAGGTCTCAAGAGTTGGGAACAAAATGTCTGATTGGGAATTGTTTTACCACAGCCTTGGCTAAATGTTTATATACATGTATCAAACTATCAGATCATGCATACACCAATATGGGTACAATGTATGAAGCCCATTTCTGGTGTCCCCTGCCATGATATTGCTGGAATATTGCTAAAAGCAGTGTAAAACCAACTCACTCACTCACTCTCTTATTTCAGTACATATCATGATACCTGAGTCATGATACAATATTTACTGGGTATTTAAAAAATTAATTTGCACAGATATTGTGTAAATTACTACCCTGTCCCTGTGGCATGGCCATCAAGGGTTTGTTGCTGTGACCATTTTGTATTAAACTTGCATAACTGATTCTAATGGTTTCATGTGATTGGATTAAAACTTTTTTTGTGTAAAAGGTGGAAAGGTGACATAAGCCTGAGTTCACAAATAGAGTCGTTATCAGACCTAGCTATTGCAAAACTTTGTAAATATTACTTTCCGAATCAATACAGAATTAAACCATGAGTCGATAGGGGGCACGGGTGGCCCTGTCGTCTAAGGCGTCGCAATTCACTGTGCGGAGTTGCGTCCCTTTTCACGCCAGAAATCTATGATTGTGGGTTCGAATCCTGGTTCGCCCCGATTATGTTTCTAGGTTTGTCAGCACCATACCCCTGCTCATGGGTTTCATCGAAGTGGTAAATGTTTGAGACCTACATCACTTGGGGCTTTCCTCCCACATTAAGCTGACACGCCGCGATATAACTGGAATACTGTTAAAAGCGGCGTTAAACCCAACTCACTCACACTCACCATGAGTCAACACGTAAGGCGTACCCTGTATTGCATCAGCAGGTGTAAAATTTTCATTGCTTCGACAAGTGATTTGCAACACCCCAACTGGAGAACTAGTAGTTTTTCTCTTTTTAATCTTAAAATTGTAATGTTTATTCCGTTTTAATGGTATAATGATTTTACCCTCGTTATAGTTGCAGAACCATTGTCAAGCACCAACGGGGGCAAGAAGCAGACACCTAATCATAGGTGGACTTGTTGTAGCCTTGTGACTCAAACAACACACGTCACCATGAATGAACACACAGAGACAGGGTACGTTTGTGGCCATGTGATGGGGTTCTTGTCTTCTGTTTCGAAAGGAGGGTAGTGCATGAATGTTATTTAATGGCTCAGTTAGCAATATCCCAGATATATGAGTGTATATTTTCAAGTATGGTCCACACTAGGGATAGGTATTGGAGGTTTAAAATGTGTTAGAATATTTTGCACAAGGCGGTATTGCGATATGTTTTGTTTGTTTGTTTGTTGTTTAATGCCGTACTCAGCAATATTCCAGCTATATGACGGCGGTCTGTCAAATAATCGAGTCTGGACCAGACAATCCAGTGATTAACATCATGAGCATCGATCCACGCAATTGGGATTGATGACATGTATCAACCAAGTCAGCGAGCCTGACCACCCGATCCCATTAGTCCCCTTTTACGACAAGCGTAGTCGCCTTTTACAGCAAGTATGGGTTGCTGAAGACCTATTCTACCCCGGAATCTTTAGGGGTCTATTGCGACATATATCACAATATAATGTATAATTCTAAATTTTTGATTCAGAAGCAATCTGATACATTAATATGAACTGAAGTTCATAAATGGAAGAAAACAAGATGCTGGTACAATATGTTTACTCATTCAATAAATACGCAGGGCCCCCGGATGCTTCCTAATTATTTTTTGGGCTGTGTCCTTTTTCCATGATCACCACCACCCACATCCAATCTCATTAAGATTAGACCTTAGTTCTCACTATTGTTAAACAAAGATCTGAGGACATCCCATTACGGGTCACGTCAGACCGACCTTGCGCGAATTTTGACCGACCAATGGAAGGACTGACAAGAAATCGACATTAGCCAATCAGAAGGCAGCTTTCATGATCTCATAAGCGACGCTCTGATTAGTCGGATGAAAGGTCGTTCTGATGTGACCCCTAATGGGATGTCCTCAGATCTTTGTTTAACGGTACCGAGAACTAAGATCTGATTTTAACGAGATTGCACCCACACCCACACTCCTAATCTCACTGTCCTACCCCCAACCTTAATGTCGACATACCAAGCTGGTAATGTACATGTCTACATAGGGCTTCCAGTAAGCTTATGTCTTGTGTTTTCCAGCTGTACTGTTGGCCTCCACAACTGGCGACCTGATCGGAAACAAGAAAAGGGTGATATGAAGTCGAGAATTATGCGTCTGGAATAATCCCCATTCCAGACTACAGTCTCATCTCACTGTGGATCTAGAGTTGATACTGTAGACCACAGTCTCATCTCACTGTGGAGTTAGAGCTGATTCTGCATTCTGCAGACTACAGTCCCATCTCACTGTAGAGCTAGAGCTGATTCTGCATTCTGCAGACTACAGTCCCATCTCACTGTGCAGCTAGAGCTGATTCTGCATTCTGCAGACTACAGCCCCATCTCACTGTAGAGCAAGTGTTGATTATACAGACTACAGTCCCATCTCACTGTGGAGTTAGAGCTGATTCTGCAGACTACAGTCCCATCTCACTGTGGAGCTAGAGCTGATTCTGCATTCTGCAGACTACAGCCCCATCTCACTGTAGAGCAAGTGTTGATTATACAGACTACAGTCCCATCTTACTGTGGAGCAAGTGTTGATTATACAGACTACAGTCCCATCTCACTGTGGAGCCCGAGTTGATTCTGCAGACCAGTCCAATCTCACAGGAGCTAGAGTTCATAATGCAGACTATAATCTCATCTCGCTGTTGCTAGATTTGATTCTGCAGACTACAGTCCCTTCTCAGTGTGGAACTGGAGTTTGATTCTGCAGACTAGTCCCATCTCACAGGAGCAAGAGTTGAATGATTATGCAGACTATAATCTCATCTCGCTGTGGAGCTAGAATTGATTCTGCAGACTACAGTCCCATCTCACAGATGCCTGGGCGAAATAAGTTACCTTAGCTGATGCAAGTTTATTCTTTTATTGCCACACAATCAGCCCAGTCACACATGGTGACCATCGATGCCGGACTTTAGTTGATTCTTACGACAGACATGGAGTATTCTGCCAGGACATCATGGAGCTGTTGGTGCCAGACATACTAAATTACGCGGACATTGAACTGAAGATTATCACTTTTGTAAGGATCACTTACTGATTCTCAGGCAAAGGGACACCTTATTGGAGGAGAACCTGCTGACAGTGCCCTTTGACAGCAAATCTGGTTTGAAATAACACTTACGTTAGCTGTGATAAGCTGGAGAAATATAGGTGAAGTGGAATGATTGTCAATCAGACTTCTTTATACTGCAGCAAATTAATTTACAGGACTTCCTGAGGCCAATATGGTAGAATATGCTGTGAGATTAGTATTTAAAGGGTTGCTGAAGATATATTCTACCCAGGATCTTCACAGGTCCAGGAGAAAGGGGTAGTAATTTGCGACAACAGCTATGTCTCACCATGTCCAAAGTACTGTTGTAAAATATATGCCACTTAACTTTTGATACACATGGTACAGGTGTTTCTATTTATTTAAATTCTATGTTACACCAAGCAGATTATTTATGATATGGATGTGAACTTTATACAATAAATCAGATTGAATGCCAGAAATGTTTCAGATTTTTCACTGTGTATGAATCCTTTCCTCTCCTATATTTGTCATCCAACCCAAATTTCATAAAAACGTGCAATTCGGCTTGAAGAAATGGATACATCAATTAATTATTAGGATTGGCCAATATTTATCAGACCAACTTGGATTTCAATTTTCACAAAGGCATGTGACGTCATCCAATGTATCATGACACCATCACATTCCAGGTCACCGTTTTAGCAATCTAGGGTGACGTTTTAGCATTCCAGAGTGATGTTTTAGCATTCCAGGGCACCGTTTTAGTATTCCAGGGTGACATTTTAGCATTCCAGGGTGACATTTTAGAATTCCAGAGTGACGTTTTAGTATTCCAGGGTGATGTTTTAGTATTCCAGGGTGACGTTTTAGTATTCCAGGGTGACATTTTAGCATTCCAGGGTGACATTTTAGAATTCCAGAGTGACGTTTTAGTATTCCAGGGTGATGTTTTAGTATTCCAGGGCACCGTTTTAGTATTCCAGGGTGACATTTTAGTATTCCAGGGTGACATTTTAGAATTCCAGAGTGACGTTTTAGTATTCCAGGGTGATGTTTTAGTATTCCAGGGTGACGTTTTAGTATTCCAGGGTGACATTTTAGCATTCCAGGGTGACATTTTAGTATTCCAGGGTGACATTTTAGCATTCCAGGGTGACGTAATGTCTGTCTCACAACTGTAAGAGTTGAGTAAGAGAGATAGTGCTATGAAAACATAGTGATAACTTTTGAGATTTATTTCACAATGTTGATAAAAACATTTTCCAGTTTGCGGGTGTTATTTAGGATCCAATGCCTGGAAAATTAAACATATGAAATCTTCGGCTTAAGCTGTCACTTACAAATGAAACTTCCAGACATCAAATTCACCAACAAATGTGAAAACACATGTTTCTCACCTAACTTAATATGTCAGTATTGGAAGTTGAATAGCATAGAGTTTTTATCAGTTTTTAAAATACACATATTACTTTCTTCTTTATACATTTATTTCATATATAATATGAATATGATAAATGTATTAATACCATAGTTTTGTTTGTTTAATGCCTCAGTAAGCAATATTCGAGCTCTTTGACGGCAGTCAATACCATTAAAAATGTGCACAGCAAATTGTGTTAGTTATTATTCAATACAGGCTCAGAGAATGTAATCAAGCAGAAAAAGCAATATTGTTACAGGGCACAGACAGAAAGTATCAATATGACACGAAGGCAATAAAGCAATACGTTGTTGGTATGTCGTGATGCAGACATTTTTACAGTACAATCTGACAATGCATTCACACACTGCAGACTTTGATATTAACAGTGATCATGTGTTTGATTAAAAGCACTGAGATGGTAACAGCTGGCACATACAAGTAGTCCTCTAGGCCTGATATTTGTGTTTGTAGTTGGTTTACAATGACAAAAAAACTTTATAAACCCTTCCAGTGCTCCAGTGCTCCAGTACCCAGTCAGAGCATGCAGTTCCCACACATATAACGTCATTGTACGCAATCCTACAGACCCGGAGTAGAATAGCTTCCTGTAAAATGCTTGTCGTAAGAGGTGAGGTGAGGTGAAATGGGGTTTAACGTCGCGTCCAAGATTATTGCACTTATATAGCGACGTGCATGTACGTGTGTGTGTTTGTGTGGCTGCTTGTACTAGTCCGGACTGATGCCGATTTATAGTGCTAGCTCACTGAGATATCATGCCGCAGTTTAACATTAATACCCCACTCAGGCACAGTATACTGACTCCGAGCCCACCAGTCCTTGTTTTAGCCCCTTAATGGCGAGCGCCAGACAGGGTAACAACAAGTACCATCTTTTAACGTCTTTTGGTATGACGCAGCTTGGGATCGAACCCCGGGCCTTTCGTTCTTTTTGGAGGACTCTCTACCACTAGACCATGGAGGCGGTCGGCTTGTCGTAAGAGGCGACTAACCAGATCGGGGGATAATAATAATAAGTGCATTTATAATGTGCCAGATTCCATTCACCAAGTGGATGCTCATAGCGCTACACTATTATTACCCTGGTCAATGGATCAGTGAGCAATCAATTTTCATTCTCAGCTCCCTGGGGAGTATACAACCCAAGCTGCCTGTGAGGCGCTAGACGGTTCACAGCCACATCACCATCTCATCCTACCGGGTACCCACTAACTGCTGGGTGAACAGAGGCACATTTCAAACAAAGTCATATGTCTAAGGAGACACCACATGTGGTACATGTGCTTCAGTGTGGGGCAGGACCGAAGCCCTAGAAACTCTTAGGAGTCAAGCTGCTGTACTCGGTCACCCATCCAACTACTCTCCGAGACCGACGTTGCTTAACTTCACCTGATTTGTGATCTGTGCGCAGTGCACAGGACCACGTGCCACCACGGCTCACTGGCTTGGTTGATGCATGTCATTGTGTCCCAATTGCATGGATCGATGCTCATGATGTCAATCACTGGACTGTCTGGTCCAGACTTGATTAATTACAGACTGCGGTCATATAGCTGGAATATTGCTGAGTGCAGTGTTAAACAACAAACAAACAGTTCCCACGTAGCCTGACACGACAGGTACTCCATATATTTTATAAGATAATGCTATGAGGTGAGGTGAGGTGAAATGGGGTTTAACGTCGCGTCCAAGATTATTGCACTTTTATAGCGACGTGCATGTACGTGTGTGTGTTTGTGTGGCTGCTTGTACTAGTCCGGACTGATGCCGATTTATAGTGCTAGCTCACTGAGATACCATGCCGCAGTTTAACATGAATACCCCACTCAGACACAGTATACTGACTCCGAGCCGACCAGTCCTTGTTTTAGCCCCTTAATGCCGAGCGCCAGACAGGGTAACAACAAGTACCATCTTTTAACGTCTTTTGGTATGACGCGGCCGGGGATCGGATAATGCTATGAAGAGGGCTGTAAAATTAGACTACTCTGGCCTTAAAAATAACAAACAACACATGGTTTGTTCATATTTATTTTTATTTCATATCAGCCTTCTTTTGACTCACTGTATTATGAACACATATTCATATCAACCATTTGATATTCTGGGAAGGGGGACTTTGGATTTTGTGTGGAGTCTAAATATTCTCTCACCTTTATATGCAAAACCAGGTTTAATTAAACTATGAGCCTTAATATGTTTTCTTAAAAAAAAACAATGTAATGCGGGGGGATAAAGCGATCAGCCAGTCTGTCTGTCCGTCTGTTGGTAATCATTTCCTTTTCCGGAGCAGAACACGAAAACAATATAGTGTATTTGATTGAAACTTGGCATATCTATCAGTCACATACTGAAGTTGTGCCTTTTGCTATTTAGGAATTTTAGAAATTATTATTTTTCACGTTTCCATGGTAACAAGTTGGACTTAGGTTCTATAAGGGTGGTGTTCGTTTCCGGAGCATAACTCAAAACCCATTCAAAACTTTCTAACAAATCTTTGCATGTCTATCAGACTCATGCTGAACTGGTGCCTTTTGCTATTTAGGAATTTTAGAAATTTTTATTTTTTACGTTAAATACTTTCTTACAAAACTTTGAATGTCTACCAGGCACATACTGAACTGGTGCCTTTTGCTATTGTTACTTGTGGCTACTTTACAGACAGCTGCGGGGGGGATATGTCATCTTTCTGATGACTCTTGTCTAAAGCATAATTATTTTATTCAATTATTTTCTGGGACAATGTATTTTTAAGAATCCAAGGCTCCCACAACCTCTCTGGAATATCAAGTGGTTGGCGCCTAACTGCACTAAGGTATTCAAGGATTATCTTTGGATGCTACACAGCAATACCAGCTGATCTAAAAATCTCATGACATCTCACGAGAACACGCCATAATCCATTGCCAGCTCAAAGCATTAAGATGTTAGGGACAGAGATTGGCACTAGCCTGCCAGCCCGTATCAGTTTATCTCATGTTGAAGGCATCCTGAGGACTAGTAGAAATAACCTGTAAATACTTCAAATGTCGCAAACAGGCCAGGTCACTTACAGATATACGTCCAGTGAAATTAGTGATAACATATGACAACAGTCAGATTGTTGATTTGTTTGTTGTTTATCACCACTCTCAGCAATATTCCAGCTTTATGACAGTCTGTTAATAATCATATCTGAACCAGACAACCCATTGGTTGATATTATGAGCAACGATCCATGGTGTCAAGGTACGATGACACACAATGAACCATGTCACCAAGCCTGATCACCTGATCCATTAAGATACCTCTCAGGACCAGCATTGAGTGCTTGGAGTGAGTGAGTTTGGTTTAACGCTGCTTTTAACAGTATTCCAGTTATATCACGGCATGTCAGCTTAATGTGGGAGGAAAGCCCGAAGTGATGCAGGTCTTGGACGTTTACCACTTCGGTGAAACCCATGAGCACGGGTATGGTGCTGATAAACCTAGAAACATAATCGGGGGGAACCGGGATTCGAACCCATGATCATAGGTTTCTGGCATGTCCAAGGGACGCAACTCTGCACAGGGAACCGCGGCGCCTTAGACGACTGGGCCACCCGTGCCCCCTTGAGTGCTTGGAACCAATTCTAACCTGGAATCCTCATGGGTTCCCAAAACCATGAAAATCTACTAGTCCTCAGGATACATTTAACATCAGACAATCTAACAGGATAGTGCAAGCTTGTTTCCCTGACATCTTGATGCTATGACCACGTATTGGAGAAGGCCAATGCAAGTTTTCATGAGATCTCATAAGACCTTAAATCAGCTAGCATCATCACCCAGCGGATAGAGATCAAACTTTCATATATTGTCTCAAAACTTACACACCTGCTTAATTAAATCTACAAGTTTTGTCATCTTTTGTGATACATTCTACCATGACATTGAAGAATGCTTGCATCTGATTGGTTAAAATTTTTAAGAGGTTTCCTTTTTGCTACAGAAACCTCTTTTAAATATTGAAAGCGCTCTATAGAGGAACTACAGTGGTCCCTCGCTACAACGCTACCTATGGGGTCCAAGTAATTGGTGGGCGTTATAGACGATGAGCCGTTTAACCGAGGCCGAGGCGAGGGAGCGCGCTCGGCCAATCTCACGATCTTCGCCTTGTCTCGCACATTGCAATGATACAAGTTGTTTACCATTCATAGTGTAAAAATATATATCCATTGTTTTTGCCGTTTGTTATTATTTACAAGCCTTAACTGTCACATTCAATGTGAATGTAGTCTATTTACATGAAAATATCGATCGATAATGGTAGTAATAGACGCTATGAGTGAAGAGCCAATCACAATTCATTACACAAGTACAGAGTGTTTCAGTGGCATTGATTGGTCATGTTGCTTAAAATACGGAAAACGAGAGTTTTGACCAGTGCTACGCGCATTCATACACATTCATACAAATATAGATTCACATTCAAGCCAGATTAATTAGTTTGATACGGTTACTTGATCCGAATCAAAAGGAATGACCGCTATGTTGTGACCGCAACTTGTGAGTTGACAGTGTCGCCTCAAATTGGATTGCCCACTAATTAAGAATATAAACTTCGCTTGTGGTTCTCTTTTATTGCATGCATGCGCTTCTAAGATCAAATTATGTATAGTGTGAAAAGTTAACTAGTAGAACAATCGTATTTCCGGGACTTGCTGCGGATGTTTTCAAACAGATTATTAGAACTCCATTCAGCGATAAACGGTTAATTATGCAATGAGAAGCGTTATGTGCAAATGAACAACGAACAACAATACAATCATGTCTGTGTAAAACGCTCAGTATTAATGGTGTACATAAATTTTGGGAGCCATGCGTTACCGCGCGTAGTAACCGAGGTAGCGCTTTATCGAAGAGCACAATAGCGAGGGATCACTGTACATCAAATTTCAAAAACACAGTAGACTTATCTCCTAAACGGCTATTCATTTTAACACATTAACAGTCAAAATAAAATCTGTCACACAAAGCTTTTACAAATGCCCTGATCCAGTTAAACAGTGTTTCCCATAGGATGATTCTCTGAATACATTACACCTTATACATCTATAGAGTCTCAGCTTGCTCAGTGGCTGAAAAAACAGGGCCAAAAAACAGCAACAAATTCTCTACCACTCTGCATAACAATAAAGCCATCCAATTTCAATCAGTGAATATGAATCAGATTAAAAATTGAGTCTGTAAATTAGCAAATACTGCCACCATATCCCTGGAATACTGCTGAGTAGTGTTGAACATCAAACAAAACATTAAACAAATTTGGCCATCTTCTTGTTTAAAAAAAAATCAGTTTCCCTTATAGATAACAGAACATACAAAACCGTATTCGATGTAATAAGCGACCACGGTGATATTGGCTAAGATATTAGCTAGTGAACAATCCCAGTTAACAAATCCAATTGATCCATGTACACAAGACTTATTTATTTGTGTATAATACCAGCGTTTGAAATACCTGCCTGCCTGACCGTCCGAGACGGGTTGATTTCAACTCGGGATGCCAGATTTTCAAATCCCCCTGCCCGACGGTCGGGTCATATTTCATAGGTGAAAATATTCTAAATATTTCCCGATGATAAGCATTAATTCACATGTAAAGAAGAATGATAAAATGTAACCAAAAAGAAATCCCGTTAGCTTTTAGACAACCTAACATTTAGCGATGCGCTTATGCTACAAGCAATCAGTTTTCATATTTTTAATTAAATTATCCTGAGAAACATATGATTATAGTGGGCAGGCAGGTTTTGGTCAGGGCTGGCAAGTATTTCAGCTAGCCAGTCCTGTGGTCTGGCTGAATTTTTGGGGAGTTTCATACCCTGATAATACACACTCGTGTGTTATATGCACCCTTAATTATGGAGAATTTAATTCTGGAAAAATATATCTGTTGTACATAAACATTTCAGGCTGTCAGCGTAAACCACGAAATTTATCTTTCAACTCATTTTTTTTCACCAAAATAATTTTCAAATAAGAGCCCCCTATTTCTAATTTTGAGAGCGCCCTGAGCGCTTAATACGTTGAATATGGTATGTGAAATATGTTATACAACAAATCAAGGGAACTGATATATACTACTCAACTTTCAATAAGGATAATCAGATATGTCATTCTCTTTAACCATACACTTGACATACTAAGAGAATAGGTTTCATGTATCAGGGAAAGTAAAATATCCTTATCAAAGTGGAATAGAACATGTTATGTATCATGTTATTAATGCTCGCCAATCTAGACCCTTGTGTTAATGACCGCCTCCGTGGTCTAGTGGAAGAACATCCGCCTGGAGAGTGGAAGGTCTGGGGTTTGATCCCCGGCCACGTCATACCAATAGAAGATGGTACTTGTTGTTACCCTGCCTGGTGCTCGCTATTTAGGGGCTAAAACAAGGACTGGTCGACTCGGAGTCTGAGTATACTGTGGGGTATTCATGTAAACTGTGACATGTTATATAAAATCAGCATTAGTCCAGACTAGTACAAGCAGCCACACACACATACATACATGCATGCATGTCGATATATAAGTGCAATAATCTTGGACGCGACGTTTAACACCAGTTTACCTCACCTCACCCTTTCTGATTAACCATAAGAAAGTCTGGTCCAATGCAAATCAGTTCAACCAAATTACACCTGTACACTGTTGTATTTTTGATTCAACTGCAAACATCACCCACACTGCAGTTAAATAACAAACAAACTGACTGACATATTTCTTGATGTATTTGGACTGGTTAACATACCGGTACTGATAATATGACCGATATCTTTCACACTACAAACAGGGCGGTCGGGTAGCCTAGTGGTTAAGGCGTTCGCTCGTCACGCCGAAGACCCAGGTTCGAATCCCGACATGGGTACAATGTGTGAAGCCCATTTCTGGTGTCCCCCGCCGTGATATTGCTGGAATATTGCTAAAAGCGGCGTAAAACCAAACTCACTCACTCACTCACACTACAAACATCATAAATATTAATATTAAATATTAACCGAGCACTTCACAGTTTTGAGTCTGTGGATTCTATTTTAAGATTGTCAAAATCTGCATATGGAGCTACATGTTCAGCTGCCATTTCAATATTGCAGGTGATACGCCCCTTGCGCTTTCCCTCGCTGTCCACAAGATAATGCGTTCGATGGTGGCGAGGGTGTTTACGTTTCAGTTCCTCCTGTGTCAAGCTGCTGTTCAGTATTTCTCCCTCTCCGTAAACATCCAGCACTTTCGGATATAGGTCATCACCTGTAACATTGCACACCATTTTTAGTGAGTGAGTGAGTTAAAATTTAACGTCGCATCGGCATTATTTCAGCCATATAGCGACGAGACCAAGTTTAATATGTTAAAAATTGAGTCATTTAAGCAAAGTAATATTTAAAATCAATTCATGCATACCATAATTAAAAACAATTTTCACACTATTAATAGAGATGACAGTTGATAGATAAAAAATAATAATCATGATAATGAGAACGCTTGTATCCTCAAAACGCTACACCATTAGCCATCAGTAGATCAGTGTGCCCTTGAAGTCATTCTCATCAAGCTGCCTAGCAACCCACATTACCATCTCATCCTACTGGGTACCCATTCACAGCAGTGTTAGAAATTGGCATTAATCCTGTAGTCCTTGTCAAACTGCCCAATAGTTAAAGTATCATAAGGACTAGTAGACATTTGTCGTTATTAGGGGTTTGGCTATATGTTATCATTACAAGAACTAGTGGTCTTAACAGTTTCCATCACTGCATTGGTGGGTGAAAAGAGGCATATTTCAAACAAATTCACATGGTCAAAGAGTGAGTGAGTGAGTTGGGTTTAACGCTGCTTTTAATACTATTCCTGTTATATCGTGGCATGTCAGCTTAAGGTGGGAGGGAAGCCTGAAGTGATGCAGGTCTCAGACGTTCGGTGCTGACAAACCTAGAAACATAATCAGGGAGAACCTGGATTCAAACCCATAATCATAGGTTTCTGGCGTGCCCAAGGGATGCAACTCTGCACAGCGAATCGCGGCACCTTAGACGACCGGCCCCCCTTGGTCAAAGAGATACCACATGAACATGTGTTTCAGTGTGGGGTAGGACCAACACCCTAGAAACAATCAAGTAAGCTTGCACCCAGTGACTATCCACTACTCCCCACGACCAACATAGCCTAACTTCGCCTGATTGTGACTTGTACTCTGTACACTGGGCCATGTTCCATCACAGAATGAACATGACGCCCAATTCTAGTAAAATGTCTGACATGATATTCAGGGATGAGAATGGATATTTTTCTTTTCAGCTGAAACTTCTTTGCAATGGAGTGTGGTCGATAATTTAGGGGTGTTTAGGGGGGAAGCCATGAGTTTTTAACAAATTTGTGGTCACTAAAATTCACAGAAATTTGTGGATCTGTGGAAGATTCTCATCCCTGGATATTCTAAAACTTAGTGAGGGAGTTAATCAACTCACCAGGCATTAGGTACAGGACAGAGTCGGCACATTCAAATCTGACAGGAAGCCATCGCTCAATTCTGTTGTTTGACCGTGCCCAGCTGAAGTGATGCAATTCCTCAAGGCTGGACATGTTCAGCAGTCGAGCCAGTTCGTACATCTGAGGTGGAGCTATACCTGCCCATCCACCTTCAAATTCCATTAAAATGTTTAATGGGGATCCCCACTGCAACAAAACGAACATTATTTTAAATAATAACTTATCATGTTATAGAAAATAAAATATATATTGTGTTTCCTATTTCATCCTATGCCATAATTGAGTAGGAGGTTGCTTTTATTAGGGTTTATTAAATTTTAATCTTTAAAAAAACCCAGCAATTTGCAGCATGTCAGTAAAAGCCTGCTGTATGTGAATATAATCATGATATTCACTAGCTTATCTATAGTGAAGTGCAACAAAATTTACACTAGTTGCAAAAAAACCAAACAATACTGGGATGGTGATACAATAAAATGTTACAGCTGAATTTGAGAGGAAAGGCTAAACTGATGCATGTTTTAGATGTTTAGCACTGGAGAGAAACATACAAGCACAAAATATGGTTCTGACAAACCTAGAAACTCTCGGGGGATTTGAACACATGACCATAGAACACAACTGTGTGTGCAGGAAATTGGGTCAGTCATGCCTCTGGTAAATATTGATGATGTATGATGTATGATGATGATGATGATGATGATGATGATAATAAAAACAACAAAACAATGCAGTTTACCGGGCACAGCCCGAGCTCTACCATCCACTCAATTACTGCGCTATAGTGCGACCTCTGTGTTTCGCCATACTGTTACCATGCCTCACACTTCAGTGACTCGCTTCACGATCCAACACCCCTTTTCGGTCTTGGGGAAACTTACATGTCTTTACGATCCAACACCCCTTTTCGGTCCTTAGGGTTAGCTTGCTTTGGGCAAGGGTTAGCCATAAATTCTAACCTTTTCAAGCGTAAATTCAGTTAATGCAATTGGTGAGTCATGTTGACATAAACAATGGCGGGTGTGGTTTCAAGAAAAGATGAATGGGAGAGCGGACCGTGACGTCACGTGCATGCGCAATTCAATGTTTACTGAATTATGCATGTGTGTTAACTGTTTATGGGGTGCCTATGACCCGTGAAACAAGCACTGATTACATACGATAGCACTCATGGTTCAGTGGTAGAGCGTCAGCTAATTAGCGCATTAATTAGCCAAGCCGGTGAGCCAACAGTAATATCAGTCACTCGATAAATATCCTGTTTATCCAGCCAAGTCAATATTACAGGACATTCAATGTCATATATTGATGACAGTATAATCATGATGTAATGTCTGTTCGCTGTCACACTCTCAGAAACTTCTTTATTATTTGTAATCGTACCTGACTGTGGACAGTTTCCCCCTTGTCTTCAGCAACATCTGGTTTTTCTTCCAGGCAACACAGAAAGAAGGCAGTATCGTATCTTCTGGGTTTACGATGAAGAATGATCTCATGAGCTGGTGTCAGCCAGTCCGACCACTCATATAGTGACCACACATCAGGCACAATCTTCATATCACGACACATCGTGATGAATTCAGATGCGTTTTCTTCAACTCTCTTCCTCCAAGTATTAATGTTTGAATCTGTTTTCAAGGCATTTCCATATGTTGGCGAGTCTACATTCATTACCGTCGTTTGCTTCAAGTTGGAAACATTTCTCGCTAGCAAAACGCCTGATTCTTCAAACGTTTCTCGTATAGCGCATATCCTAAACGCTATTTCACTGGGAATGGCAGTGAATTCTGCATCACGAATTCGACTGAACATCGGTGCCCCTTGTCCATTTCCTTTCACAAAATTGAATAAGTTCGACCTTGAGAGTTCACCAGCTTGGCCGAAAATGTCGAGCCAGTCTTTCGAAAAGTCTGCATCACTTGCTACACCACCAGGGAAGACATACAAATTAGGCATAAAAGTTGACTTGCTACTTCTCTTTAGCATAAGGGTCTCAAAGTTATCTCCCTTTAGTTCAGCTGTCCTGCGACTTGAACCAACTGGTTGGAATGTTATACCGTTGCGACATTTGTTAGCTGAAACAATTATCAGGGTAGCGGCCTCTCGCCAAGATTTCAAAATAGCTGCCATGCTTTCACTTTGACAGTGCGATCTCTTAGTCTGTTGACCGATATTAGAACTCTAAGCTATCGAGCCTACAATCGCTGCCATCTTGGAATAACAGGATCAAGGTCCACCGAGCTCCTCACACCGCATTTGATAGGTTGACAGTCTGCTCTGTTGAATGGGCCCTGCTCTGAACTCTGCAGTACTGTACGTACGCTATCGGTATTTAGTCTCTGACATATCTGACACAATAAATTATCAGTGGATTGGTAAATACTTATGTGTTGAAATTGCGGCCTGGCGTATTTGTTAACAGCGTGCGCAAAGCGTGCTTGGAGCGATCACAGTTCATAGGCGGATCCAGAGGGGTCCGGACTCCCCTAGACTAACATTTAGTCTCTGAAATCTTATATTACACAATATCCTTCTTGGCTCTAAAAGTAAGAAAAAAATGCCTATGCTGATGTGGAATATAGCAAGCTGGAGCTGGCTAGACTTGCTTTTGTATGCGTTCCTAGATTATTTTTTTTTCATAAAATAAATATATTCCACATTCATGGTGCAGGACTAGGACTCCCCATCCTTTTTGAAAACCAAATGTAGTATGTTTTATGCAGTAAACTTATCTGAGAGAGAATTTTGATATTTTGGACCCCTCCCTTTTAAAAATGCTGGATCCGCCATTGCAATTATCTTAATAGAGGGCTATGTAAGATTACACACACGCGTACGCACGCACGCACGCATACACATTCAAATGAGCTTATTCGCTTTCTGGACAACATTTGAGTCAATTTAAGACGATATTTTACAATAAATCCCTTTAATGCCGAACGCCATGCATCTCCTTACGTCTTAGAGGTTGTTATTACAAAGGAATTGATGTGTAATGTAGGGCCTACATATAGGCTAGAGTTAGATAACAAAATGGGGACCCTGGGTGTACAGGCCTACATAGCAACGTAAGCTTGACGAATTGGTTCAAAAGGTCAAACGATGTATATATACCAGGATGTCTCGTCGAATGAGGCGACTGACGAATTAGTTCAAAAGGTCAAACGATGTTGTATATATACCAGGATGTCTCAAACCTTAAGGAATTAATATAAAAATCCTTCATGGAAATTTTGAACTACTCGGTGGTCAGGCTCGGAGGCTTGGTCGATCGCGCATCTGATGAGAGGACACGTTATGCTAATATCCAAGAAAAGGCTTAAAATTCACACCCATGTTGGGAATCAAACCCAGCTAAAGGGTATTGGCGCATCCACTTTGAAAGATGTATGAAGCAAATGTTTCATACATAGTTGTGCATCCAAGAAAGTAATCACAGTTAATCATCATTTTCTCTATATAAACAGAAAAGTAGGGCAAGGTCTAAATTGTATACAACCCCTTTTCGGAAAGATACGATCATTTCCGAAATCTAAACGTCATCCTAGCCTTAAACGGCACTGCGTCAAAACGTGTTTGACGATATCAGGTCTGAAAAACTCCGGTGCCATACTGTCATGTGTGCTATTTCTTTGTTTACAGGGGCACTGGTGGCCCAGTCGTCTGAGGCGCCGCGATTCGCTGTGCAGAGTTGCGTCCCTTCGGCACGCCAGAAACCTATGATTGTGGGTTCGAATCCCGGTTCGCCCCGATTATGTTTCCTGGTTTGTCAGCACCATACCCGTACTCGTGGGTTTCACCGAAGTGGTAAACGTCTTAGACCTGCATTACTTCTGGCTTTCCTCCCACATTAAGCTGACACGCCGTGATATAACTGGAATACTGTTAAAAGCGGCGTTAAACCCAACTCACTCACTCTTTGTTGAAACGTTATGACCATGTACGTTCTTCTGTATGTCACGGCGATAAATTTGTTTGTTTGTTGCTTAACGCCGCACCCAGCAATATCCCAGCCTTATGATGGCGGCCTGTTTATAAAGAATTGATTCTGGGCCAGACAACTCAGTGACTGGCATTATAATCATCGATCCACGCATTTTGGATACAATGATACATCATGCATCAAACAAGTCAGCGAATCTGACCATCCGATCCCGTAGCCGCCTTTTACGACAAGCATGAGATGAAGATGAATTCTAACCCGGATCTTCACGGGTCACGCCAGTTGTTAGAAAAAAAACCCGAATCTGGACCAGGCAAACAAGTGATTGATATAATTTTTTTTATTAATAATAAAGATAAAAAGTGACACAACCCTGTCCCTAATCATAAGAAATCTCTTCTAAAGGCAGAGTCAGTTATTCAATTCCACCAAAAGCATTTGTCTATGAATCACTATGAAGCAGTGATACCAGGTGTTCGCGAAAAGGTGGGCGTATCCTGACTCCGCCGGTGACACCCGTCACAAACACATGCAAAGGCAAGACAACTGTTCACCTGAAATGACACGGGAACATATGGTATTAATCAAAATAGGGCCACCCATGCGTCAAATTTGGAAATGTCCTCCGCGTGTCTGCGAGAAATCGTTTTGAAAGCTTTACCAAAGCCTTGAATAATTGTAACCATCTAGCTATTTGAAAACTCCGTAGAAAAAGGCATGCTCGATTGTGCCTCAAAGGTTGTGAACTCTAGACACCGAAGTCTGGAGCTGCTGGAAAACTGCCCTACATAAATAATGTAGACAATTGGAAAGTTGAAGCAGTGTTCGAAATACCTGCCTGCCCGACCGTCCGAAACGGGTTGATTTCAACTCGGGCTGCCAGATTTTCAAATCCCCCTGCCCGACGGTCAGGTTATATTTCATATGTGAAAATATTCTAAATATTTCCCAATGATAAGCATTAATTCACATGTAAAGATGAATGATAAAATGTAACCAAAAAGAAATCCCGTTAGCTTTTAGACAACCTAACATTTAGCGATGCGCTTATGCTACAAGCAATCAGTTTTCATATTTTTAATTAAAGTGGGCAGGCAGGTTTTGGTCAGGGCTGGCAAGTATTACAGCTAGCCAGTCCTGTGGTCTGGCTGAAATTTTGGGGAGTTTCATACCCTGGTTGAAGTCATCTCTCTTGCATACTGTCTTATGGAGAGTTTGTTGTCAGTCTAAATCTAAATATGAAACAGATGAGGCAATTTCACTGTTTCTAGCTCAGGTGAGTAAATCAGTTGACGGAATTTGGATATATGACCATGATTGAACTATAAGAGATACTCGATATACCTGAATCTATTAAGTTTAACTTCTTAGCCAAATTCCTCTGTTTTGAATGTGGCAACTCGAGCAGAAATTCTGATTCATGTGCATTAAAAAAACCAGATCAGCAAGGAGTGAGTGAGTGAGTATGGTTTTACGGCGCTTTTATCAATATTCCAGCAAAATCACGGCGGGGGACACCACAAATGGGCTTCACACATTGCACCCATGTCGGTAATCGAACCCGGGTCTTTGGCGTGACGAGCAAACGCTTTAACCATTAGGCTACCCGACCGCCCCTATCAGCAAGGAGGGGAGCGCAGTTGGTGTCACGCTGTCGGGTACGACACACAATTGCACATCCGATCCACAAAGTCGTACGACCCAACTTCCCGAGGCAAGGGAGTTATCTGACCATAAAAGTTCAGTTTCCATCCTTGCAAAACTAGGCTGGATTTATGGAGCTATATTTTGGCTGGACTAACGAGTCTATGCATAGTCCAATCAATATCGCGTAACGTAATCGACATCCGGTTCGTAAACTGCCGTCCAGAATTCGGTCGATTGCAGGATTTGCGTCAAGACTCAACAGATATTTTCCAAGTCTTTTCATGTTTTTAATAAAGGTGCTTACGTGATTTTATTACAATATAGACAAGGGCTGGGACGAGTCCAAAGTTACTACCCGGGTACCCACCACCCTATTACCCGACCCTACCCGGGTACCCGCTGTAGATATTTAGAGATAGATACAAACTGTCAGATTTGGAAAACTTTGACCGTAGCTCTGGCAAAATGTATTTGGTTAGATACGCGTGTAAAACGATCTGGTCATGCACACATTAAAGTTTACTGCATGAAGTTTTATCTTTATTCAAACATATAAAAGTCAGAAGGAATGGGTGCATTGTCAGAAAGAAATTGGATCATTAGTGACTTATAGTGTATGCATAGAGTTTTAGATAAGTTTTGTCATTGAACAATATATCCCGTGACTAAGCACGGGTCCGGGTAGTCCTGTGGGTACCCGGGTCCTATTAAGGACCCACCCAACCCGAGTACCCGAGTTACCCGTCCCAGCCCTATCTAAGACTTTGATTATCGATCAGATCGTCTTGACTGGGTGCCGCCATTTTGTTTAAAGCAAGTGATATGAGAGGTGGAATCTGATTGGTCAGTGGGAGGGACATAGAATGGACATGGGTTACAGCTAGGGGACCTATTGTAACCCGGAATCCCTAGTGCGTGTATGTATACAGATATGAGAATGCTGAGAAAATATATTATAAGTACATACCCTGAGTGAGTGATTGAGTTTGGTTTAACACTGTTTTGAACCACAGGCCTAAGACTCAAGTCTAATATCGATGATTATTTGTGTATGAATTGCGAGATCGTTTGCATTTGTATAGAATAAATCCTTAGTGAATGTCAAATCCTTGCATGTTTGTATACCCAGAGACCATCTCTGGTATACCTTATATACCAACATGTGTCGAATAGTACTGACTGTTACGTTTCCCAAACTTGGCGCCGGACCCGTGAAAATCCGGGGAGGAATAGGTCTCCAGCAACCCATGCTTGTCGTAAGAGGCGACTTAAGGGGATGGGGGGTCAGGCTCGCTGACTTGGTTGATGCATGGCATCCTATCCCAAATTGCGTAGATCGATGATCATAACGTCAATCACTGGATTGTCTGGTCCAGACTCGATTATTTACAGACCGCCGTCATATAGCTGGAATATTGCTGAGTGCGGCGTTAAACAAACAAACAAACAAACAAACAAACCAAAACTTGTTGCCGTTTCCTCAACCCACATGGTGTCTTTTTGGCCGTAAGCCGTTTTAGCCTAATGCCACCACGACGCTGCGTGGAGCTTAGAACGGCGCGTGATAACAAATAAATACACCTACCGAGATGGCATCCGCAAGAGAACAGTGAGTACTTTAATTAAGATCAAGGCTATGTACTAGTATATCGTGTGGCATCTTTGTTAGCGTAGTAATAATTATGTAACAGCTCTGATTTGCAAATTAGGTAATATGCATAAAAACAAAAGTAGAAAAAAATCGCATGTACACGAGAACGATTCAACTGGGCTAACTGAAGCTTGTCATGTAATTTGCCTCTTTGGCCACCTTTGGACTCAAATCGGACCCACATCACGTATAGGCCTATATGTGATTAGTCTGTTTTATGAATATTAAACTAAATGACAGGTTCTGGCCATTCATTGTCTTACTGCTGTTGGTTTTGTTTCCAACTAGCTTTATAGTTTAAACATTTTAAGATTATTTATGCTTAATTTCTAAGTTAGACGATTAATACAAATGTTCATATATAGCCTATATACAGTTGCAGGATTGAGGATAATATGCTTAAAAAAATTGTTTATGATTATTTTCAATCACTGATGCTAGCTGACACTAAATTCTGTTTTAATAAAAACATGTTTGACAGTTCAGACCTCAAAATGTGGAATATTAGCGAACACTAAAAGATCTATGTTCAACTTATCACATTATTTGATACTAATTTTTCACAATTTTACCTACCCATTTTCTTCATTTGTATGGTATTTAGAACCACCCAATTCAAACTCTTGGAATTGACATGATTGGGGGAAAGTAGTTTTTTTCAAATGTCTAACTACTATACTGGCTAGCGACCAGTTATCACCATTATTTACGTCTTATTTCTGAAATATTCTGTTTACAGATAGATCTAGTGGAAGTAGAACTTTCCCGTTGACTAACTGTACCAGTTATTGTCATCATTAAACAGGACGTGCCACGTGATCACTCTCACCACTTGAGTTACATAAATAACATTATCAATATCATCTCTGGTATCGCACTCAATTATTATATTCATTTAAATTAATAAGAAATGTTTTTATCAGTTTGTCGTCTGCCCACTCACGTAAACACCTATATTCCCAAAATTTGATCTACACATGCTTAACCATAACACTATGTACCTGTATAATGTTTCTGCTGTTTCTTAATCATGTTAATCCTTCAAATAAAACAACATTGCACACATTGTTGAATGTGTGAAACGACCTTTGGGCATGACATTGTGAATATTAAAATAACAATTAACAATCGGTAACCATAGCTTCTTATTACTAACATCCTGTTTGGGAAATAAAACATCAGCTGCCCTCAGCCCAGTTCCAGGCAATGAAAGCCTGTCAGGAATTACCCCTGAGAAAACAGCTAAGGGCATCTTCAGCGTTGTTTTGGGCGGTTGGGTAGCCTAGTGGTTAAAACATTCGCTCGTCGCGCCGAAGACCCAGGTTCGATTCCCGACATGGGTACAATGTGTGAAGCCCATTTCTGGTGTCTCCCGCCGTGATATTGCTTGAATATTGCTAAAAGCGGCGTAAAACCATACTCACTCACTTCAGCGTTGTTTTAATGTGATATAAGTTGTGGACACGGAAATCAAATGGATGAACAAACGAAAAAAGACGTAATATATAAATTCTGAGGCAGAAGCAGAGAGACTAGTCGTCAGCCGATCATCATGATTGTTGAAATTGCGCAGTGCGTCAAGCACCAGGAACCCGTTTTAACCCAGTTGTCAAATGGGAATCCCCATATGTTTCATTTGGGGGGTGATTTTGCCTGACGTTTTTTATCATCTGTTTTACACTGTTTCCGTTTTTTCAAATTTAATTTTGGTCTAGCATTTGTGATTAAGTATGCCCAAAAGTATTAAGCTCTGCAAAGTTGCTTTGTTGACTTCACTTACCCTTTAAGAAAAACAATGCATCAGGAGAGCCAGTTAATATTGGAAAAAATGGCATTTCCAAAACATGACTGTGGACAGACCCCTATGAACAACAAACTACTTAATGGTGTTGATATTGAGGGGAGTGGTCCTTGAGATCTTCAATGGTGTTTGAATTTAGGGTTCCCCTTAATTTTGAACTTTGAACATTTGGTTTTATGACAAGTTATAGGATGCCCTCATCCTTTTCTGATAGCCACACGTTAAAGGGCCAGCATATTTATTTCCAACTCAGTTTTATTTTATTTTGGTAATATTGAAACCATAAATGACACACTATCCAAGCAACAACATGTCTAAAGAAATTCTTTGTTACCATGGTTACCAGGCCAACATTCTGCCGGGGGACGCACACCCTGTCAGTTCCGATGGAACTGTTCCGGGAAAACAGCCGACGCCTGAGTGAACGACTGAGAAAGAAC